CAATTCTCCCACCACCCCCAAAATGTTTCTTTCCTTGTTGATATGCATTGTTGATAATAGTGATTTGTCTGTACTTGTACACATATATCAACATTCTTCTGCTTTACATGAGATTTCAAATTACATGTAGCTTATTTAAGGCATAAAATTTTGAGACTGCATAAATGATCTTTCACAAAGGATTAAATTTGAAGATTTAATTCTAAAAGAAAAGTTTTGGCAATTAAAGAAGTCAAAGGATGTTTACAAGTTGAGTATTTTAAATATACATTTAAAGAGAATCTTAATGAGCTGAGTGCTTAAGTATCCTTTTATACCAAAAAGAAGTTATAGATCACAAATGTAATTACTATCATTTTCCATTTCAAAACAGGTAAAAATTGGTTTACAGATTGGTGTCGATTATGCATAGGGAAATAATGAGATGAGAAACATCTTAATGAGATCTCTTTCAGACCAGACAGAATGCCAGTCTTTTCTTTGAAATCAGCCATTACAGATTTGAAGGAAACCTGTGGTAAAAACACTGTACCTAGGAGCACTACATTGTGCACCAGAGCATGAACAGCCATAAACCCACCCAAGCAAGGATGAGGTAGATACATGTACAACTTTACATGTATGTAAATCAAAACCTTTTATTTACAAATGTAGAGGAAATTTGGTGACATTTGCTAAAGTATAACTCTCAATACAACTTTCAATCAAATTTGAACCTATATACGGTCGAACAAAGTGAATCACTCCTACCAAACATTCGTGATTCATTATTTATGACCTCTGTTATTTTGAGTCAACTTACATCAGATCAACAACAGAACGCATTTTTTTAAAAAGGATAGCTTTGTCGTGTTACTGTATTGCCCTGCTAACACATTCCTTGAAACGATAAGGGAATTCTTCATCACTATTTTTACCTTTAAAGAGTGGTAATGAGTTGGCAACGTGGAATATCTATCATAATTTAATTCACCGCGACCAAGCCACAATTCTCGCCATATGGGCAAAAGAGCATCAAGCTTTAGTACTAATTCAAAAGAAAGTATTCCTCCATTTACAAAGTCACCATTTTTTGCCGAAACAAATGATATCCTACAACTTTTTCGGCTCTGGGACATGGTGTAGTCAAGGTCACAGCGAAACAATGCATGATATTAAAAAGTCATGAGAGGAAAGGCAACAAGACAACGAGAAACAGAGCTCTAATGGTCAAACTAACACTACTACACACCGAAAAACCCGGAGGTTCGATGGGCGTCCCAACTGGAGTCGCGGCTGATCTGCTCGTGAAAGAAGCATGTCTTGATACATTAAGCCCTGATGAAACAGTACTGCTTTCGCTGAGTAGTGATTCCCTTGATTCGTACAAGCTACTCGCATTGCTGAGTCTTCGCCTTTCCCATTTGTTCTCCGTCCATCCATTGACTTTAGCTCGTCGAACACTCGGACTAGAAGGCAAAGAGCGGCTGGAGTCTGAGGTTGATTCCTCTTCGGCGATTTTCTGCTTGAGTTTTGCAAACATTTATCGAGAATTTTAAGAGACTTCGCTAATTCTTCCACTCATAGTGTAAGCGTGCCGCTCTCAGCTGTTGATCCAGTCTAATTCCGTTTCCGCTCTGGTCCCCGGCCTTTGTTTACGCATCCTCTACACAGGGCGCTGCTCAGGATATTGCAGGCTCATACGGAAGCGGAAGTGAAAGATGTTTCGTTCACTTCCTTTTCCTTGATAATCATTTTTCCACCAAATTTTGAACCCATAAGCTTGGAAGAAACATTTTTCACGCGGAAAGCTTTAACTTTTAAGCTTTAAGAATCTGTGATGTCCGCAGAAATGTTTTTCCTTTGTTATTATCCGCAGAAACTAAAAGTTGGTTTTTTCCATATACTAGGCGATGTTCAAGGTAATTTAGGATGGGACTGGGAGAGAAATAAAAGAGATCAAGAGATTATGAGGCAACCTTTTTTGGCTGGAGAAAGTCAAAGAAGCTTACATGGCTGGAAAATATGCAGGAACAAGGGAGGTCAATTACAACGGTATATCGGTGAAAGACCCTTGAGAAAAGCCAAGGCATTAAATTATAAGTCATTCACAACAAAACACAAGCACCTGGGCTCGGTTGTTCAAAAAGCGGTTAGTGATATTCCAGGGTTAACAGTTTAACTTTTCCTCGATTTCTCTCGAAATGAAATAATTATTACTATTCCCACACACAAAAAAAAACTTGTAAAAGAGTCTGTTTTTATTCCCTTGCTAAATTGTGTTAGCCACGCCTCTGTTGGTGTTTTTTTTTTTTTTTAATGCTTTTCACAAAAAATTGAGGCCGACAACCTCATTTGACCTTTTCAAATAAAACAGCAGTAACCTAACCACAAAAAAAGCAGTACAGAGGGGTAGAGTTTTAGGTTTGAAGCAATGAATTAACATATTCCATCGTTTCCACCTCCCAACAGGACTAGCTGTGATTAATATGGAACTTCTCCTCGTAATACTTTTACATTATAAAGCAAATTGGTAATGAGAAGTCAAACAATCATCACTTGTAGAAGATGATAAATCCACTTTTTTTAATATACATGGAAATTTATGTTATAGATAAGAAGGGGGAGATCAGATCTCTTCAGATCTTGAGACGTAAAGGACTACAAAAATAGATGAGAACCGAGAGTGGCAAGCTCTAAAGGCTTTGCTTTTCTCCAGGGAAGAAAAATCTTTGCTCAAAATAATTTCCAACATAAAAAAAATCAAACTTTAACAATTCTTTATGGCCGATTGACCTCAGGCGAGGAACAATAAAGTAAACATCTCAGGTGGTCTGATATCTTGTTTAAAGAAAAGAGTTCAAAGTACGCTAAAACGTTCTTAATTAACCACGTGGGAGTCGCATGTCATTATATAATTAACTCATTGTGATCTGAGTCTCAGAGATCAGAGCCCTTAACCAATCACTAAGCGAGAATTCTCAGCTATTTTTGGAAAATAAAAAATTTTACCGTCAGTCAAAGTTTGAGAGCACATGGCTTTAGAAGTTTCATACAAGGAGATTTGTTCAAACTTGAGGGATGATGCTGTTTGCAATTTTTGTCCTCACAAGGTCTATGCTGTTAATTATTACAGGTAATTAAGTAGCACTGAACAGTTACTTGCACCCGAGCCTAATGAATGTACCACCGGCATGGCCGGCACATGTACACTGAATAACGGTATTGTTAAAATCTGAGTCGAATAGTACTCACTTTCATAGCTGGTAACACCTAGCTCACAATTTGCAAAAGAGTGCTTACATCAAAGTTTGGATAATTGTACAATCTGTCCTTAAAATTGAGAAATTGTCATATGAAAGCACGTGGAATCGAGTCTCGGAAAGCGCGTGAAGGGTCTCCTTATCGGACGCATCAAATTCGACATGGTGTTCTCCAATCCTATCGGTATTCAACCCGCATCATTTTCCTTACCCAAAATGATATTTTCAGGTTCACCCCAATCTTTTCAGTATCAGTCGCACACGAAACAAATTATTTTCGGAGAGCGGTTACGTAACATTCGATTTAGTCGCAAGCTACTTGAAACAGCGTGGCTTCTGCTAACTAGTTATCACAATTGAAGGGAGCACGTGAAAGCTCGGTCTCAGCAAATGTGGACAGCTTTTAGAGCGAAGATAACCTTTTCATTTCACCTTTTTGAGTTAAATCTCACCCAGCTGTATGTAAGATTAAATCTGCAATGAAAGAGGCAACGAAAAATTGAGGATGCAAGCCGTGGTTTAAAGTAACGATGATATCAGCTAGTACATTTTACAAGTGGAAATATGATGTTCAAGTTTGGTTTTTCAATAATCGGAAAGTAAAAATATCAGTTCAAAGCTTTCTCAACATAAATTAAAGAAGGTTATGAATCCTATTCTTACAATATTACCATAGTGACATTGTGGTGGTTGTGCGTGTTTCCTTTCAACGTCACCAAATTATGGTAAAAAAAAAAAAGCCAGAAAAAAAAATGCAAAATAAAAGTCACAACACAACCTTATCATACTTCCACGAGCCTTTTCTATAATCAAAATTACGATTTTCATACAAATATTTTTAGACCTTTGAGTTTGAATAAACTGGAATTAGTTTTCTGCTAAACCAAAATACCCACTTAACTGAAAGTAAGACACAGATATGATGAAAAAAATCAAAGGTAGCTAACAACTCAAAAAGAGAAAGAAAGCAAGTGACATTAGAGCCAATGATTGAAAATAAAAAGAAAGGGGCAGGGTCTGGCTGTGGCCGCTAACAAGAGTTTCAAGAAAAGCCGGCTGTTGACAGTCTATCGCTGTCTATAAGACCTCTCACCGCCGTATGTTAATCTTTCGAGCTGGCCCTCGTGTTTGGGTTTCGCCTTACGACCCCTTTTCCGGGCTACCCCTGAGGTAAGAGTGACAGATTTTCGCTCATAGAAACCGAAGAATCATGAAAGCAAAATCTCTTTTTTTTGCACTTTTCCCTAATTAAAAAATCGCATCGAAACTATAACTACCGCTCAACAATCATCTGAGACAAAACTACGTTTACCTCCTGGAATCAGTGGCTGCTTTCTCTATCTAAGCAAGAACTAGACCTTAAAGATCGCTCCTAAACGCCTCATTTTTTAGCATTTTCTGGCTTGAATACAACATGGGGACACATAGACACTAACGACAGCAACCAGCTGCAAAGCGCCCAAATTCAACATGAGTACTGAAGCTAAATCGAAAGCAAATCTTGTGAAGAATCTCCATTTGATGTTGTTTTTCGACCTCCGTGTTCTTTTTTAGACCCGCGAGGAAACTATTCAGTGATGTTTTATTTCTCACAAAGCTGAAAATTGATTCGAAGCATAGCAAACAAGATGCTGAAATGAACTGAAATACTGATAATTGGAAGAACGAGATTGACATTACATTAATCAAAATGAAAGATTGGAAGAGTAAAACCAAAACGAATCCAAGCAATCCCTTAGTTTAACTGACTTATCAGAAATGGGTAAGTCAGTTTCAATCACGTACTTTTAACCGCCCTCTTCCCCCCTCCCCCTCGCGCCTTTCCTTCCACTCTATTAGAAGTTGTACCATAGTATAGGCATGGAGGGAGAAATGACCTTCAAATTCAATCACGCAATACGTTTCTTCGTAGGGTGGGTGGGTGGGGAAGCCATGGCATTAAACAGTGAAGTCTACAAAATGGCCGAACCCGGACACTCCAAACACATTAGATGGTACGGGAATTTATTCATTAAAATTAAACTGTACTTAACTACAGGATTATGTTTGCATACCTTGTCAACAATAATTCTTTCTGTTTCCATTTACCCTCTTCAGTTTTCGATAAAAATACAACATGTCTTTTCTCAGTCTTAAACACTAACTAGGTAAAACTTGAACTGACTCCTAGCAATAAACTTAACCTCGAGACATGTTTTGGCTACTTGTCAAATAGTCTTAGTGGGGGTACGTTTGGCAAAGAACATCTGATCAACCAACTGGATTAATAATGACTTTGAAATGTAAGAAATAGGCTTCCATCTTACTCCTGATCACCCCAGCTCATGCGATAAGGCAGCTTGTTTATGTTTCACTTCCGCTCCGATTATTTTGAATCTATTTTTTTTGGACAATCGTAACAATTTGAGAGCTCGTAGCAAACGATAAGAAAATGGAAAAGGTATTTTGATGTGACAGTTATGTCGGGGCGTACTTTGATGAATTACAGCCCAATTCAATCACGCCCAATATCCTAGCCACAGGAAGGTCTCCGCGAAGATAAAAGAAAACGTTTTGCCAAAACACAGAACTATTTGACAATTCAAATGCTCTCATGCACGCAGCAATTTATCTCGTTATATAATTTAATTATAGTTGCATAATCATTCACGTGTATTCAAGACAGGTGGAAACGTTCATTTTCAACAAATTCATCCCCATCGCACGTTTAACTGCTCTACGTAACTGAATGTATTCGACAAAAGTCTCGTCACCAGGAGCACCTCGGTTTTCAAACTGGCAGCGGGTATATTGACGCCATTTTGAGAAGCGAAATACTCTAAGGACGAGGTAACTTTGACGAAATGTCTAGAAAAACGGCCTCAAAACTAGTCACGACAGACCTACAGTAACGAAGACGCAACTATTAAAGTCTCATCTTCATCTTCTTCAGGGGTTTTAATCTCCGCCAATGAGAAAACTGAAGAGAAAATTCAAGTGAGGATATTTCGCGACGCCTGCTTTAGTTTGAAGTACCCCGGATTCCCAACTCGTCTGGAAGAGAATGAGATTGTTTATGTCGAATTAGAAGGTATTAAAACGCAGATGGTTCATGTTACCACAGTGCTTTGAATCGCTACAATTCTTTATTTCCCGGTGTATTTTTGAAGTAAGATGAGCAACAAAGAGAAGTTTTCTGAACTTTAATCATCTCTTACTTTTTGCTGCAGCCATCGATGATTATCATGTCGCTATTCCTGAGGAGTGTTACGTGAGTGCCAACAAGAAACACGACCATTGCCCCACACAAGGATATCAACTGATCAGCGATTAGTGAGTAAAGTAATTGTAGATACAAAGATAGAAGACAAATGCTGTTTGTTACACACATTGAGTCAATTAATGATCGGGTCGCTATAATAACGCAGATCTAGAAAGTAGAAAGGAGGTTTAACAGAATTTTTAAGCGAGTCTTCCCACAAACAAAATCACAAGACAGCAAAACAATGAATGTCACGCACAGTTAACACAATGATGAATCATTACATCCGTCTGAAACTGAAGGTCTTTGGTGACTAAAAACTCTCCATCAGTAAGTCAAACATGTCTTTTGAAATATTTGACCAGTTTGGCATCCTTTCCATCCTACTATTACGCTAAGGAGTATAAACTTTTACAAAGTGCCACAAATCCACTCAATTTACAGTTGCCCGCGAGCTCTTCACTGTGACTACTTACCGACAAGCAACAAGTCCATACGATTTCAATTCTCCAATGTCCAGTTCTTTGGCCCGAAGAAACAATTCATATATCTCCATTGCAAAATGACAACATGTCGGACGCCATTGGTGCCCAAGCCACACAGGTTCAACTGTGGAACACAAGCGCTACATTGTCCACAACGAAAGGATAGCCACGTGACTGTGGGTCTCTTTGTGTCGTGGCCGACTAAAGCTAAGTGCAATCAATCGGATCCGGGTCCAACAACCAGTAAGTGATATAAAGACAAAGGGTAATGTAAAGAGGGCATATGTCAAGAGTGGATTTTTCGAATTACTTATAGTTAAGAACCCATTCTCAAATTCCTTTCAAGGATCCGGGTCACCCCATTCGAAAATTTGACTAAGACATATTATTTGTACTGAGAGGCGTCCAACGAAGCAATTTCATCATCATCCTTAAACTTCATGAGTCGGAATTTGTTGCACCACAGATCCACACAACGCGCAGCCCCCGAATGGCTCACCTCAGGTTTGCCAGTCAAATCCTTGTGTCTTGAGATATCAACTGTAGAAAGGTTATATTCTGACTGTACATGTGGAAGTTTGGGTTGAGGAGAGATTGGGTTGAGGCATTTTTCTAAGTGCATCTTTTGGATTGAATGTCGATATATCTACACATTTTAGTAACATTCGTTTCTTTATAAAAAGTTCCGAGAAAGGACCGTTTGGAAAGAGGCCAGGGCTTATCAGCTGGAATGATAAGTGATCAAGGTAAGGTTTCAGTGTGTCGTTATCCATTATTATGAAATTACCCTCAAGAATTGACAGATAGACTGAAATAAGTAATATGGGGAAAAAAAGTGGGTGTCTAAGTAGCAGCATCCAACTGTCTGATTTCAGCCGTTCAATTACATCAAAGTTGACATATTTGTTCTGACTGTCAACAAGAGATCTTTATTAATTTTGCTTCGGGGTTTACTTAAGAATTATAGGAAAACTGATTAAAGTGGATGTGTATTTTTTGTCGTTTGCTATTGTCGTAAACTTCATCCTTAAACACAAAAATAATCATAACGAGAGCAATGATATTAACAACAATAACAGTATGGTTTGATCCAAAAACGTTGTCACGGTTTCTGAGAGTCTCTAAGCTAAGAAATTAATCTCTTTTAGGGGCAAATAACACAAGACAAGGAGAAATTCAAGTCGGAATATTTTCAAACAACTCCTTCACCAAAGAGTTTGAGTACATCAGATTTCCCATTCATTTGGACGTAAACTCAAATGTTTTCGTCAAGGTGGAAGGTATGAAAACGTTCCTCTAGGAATAATATCGAATTTTTTTTTCTGTTTGTGGTAATAAAAAAAAAGCAAAACCTAAGGAAGAGATAAATGAAAATTATTAGTAACAACCAATAAAGCTTCCTTTCAGGGCGTGGCTTCAGTGTGACGAAGCAAACAGCGGATCTTTCTGTTTTCCATCCGATAAAATTGAAGAATGCAATTACCTCTTGCTTTCTTTTTCTATAGTCCATTCTATATGGTTTCCCTCTTAGATTTTAGTCACACGCGTTCAGTACCACACATTTGCAAATGGAAAGAAATATATTGGTGATAAAATAGCTACGTGACTCTTAACGGTGTTGTGTGTGTTACCTGTGCAAAGAAATGACGACTTGATCAGAATCTAAGGTGCAGTAGATAAAGTGTTTAATGAGGTTGTAAATATCAAAGATTAGCGCGAGCTGATGATATGTATTTTCCGTGCGCTAATAATCTGTCTGCTTGACAGTTAAGGCGATATCAATTCTTCGTTATTCATGGCAGTGAGAGCATCAATAAACCGGCTTCTAACTCTACTCAACTTCAATTTTCAGCAACGGAAAAGGGCCAAATAGCTATTCCGAAAGAATGTCATGTGAGTGCATTTAAGAACTATAACCACAATCCAGTGCTGGAATACGGACTCATCGAAGATTTGTAAGTGAGGTGACTGGACATGGCTGGGAAGCGGAAAGGGAGGTTATGAAATTACTGCACTGAACTTAACTAAGAGAAGCGAATAGTTTTACGGGTGGAAAGAGTGAACACCCTTACTGGATGCTTTTTGATAATTTTATTGTTTTAGCTGATCTGAATTGAAAGACAGTGACGGTAGATCAACCGTGAGTTTATTTTCATGGATACTACGGGCTCTAAAGTTAATCTAATTAGCCATAATATCGTCATGCTCTCTGTACTCCTTACCTATTTATTGTAAATTCTTCACCTGTAGAATTGACATTGAATAAGATAATTATCACCCGATTACATTCTGTTGCACTAAGACCATGCCACATCATTACAATGTAAAATCCCTCACCTGCCTATAATTTTACCAAACGGTAAATATCAGGAAAATTCCCTGTTCAAATATCGTTTTCCTATTGCGGAGAACGTACGTGACATTCGGTATTTACTATAGGCAAATACAAGAACAACATGGTGTTCATGACGCCTGAAAAACTGCCCTGTATACAGTCCGTTTTCTCATCGGTTATCCAACGTGAGTTGACACAGTGTTTGTCAAGTGTTTTCCTGAAATAGTTAACGCTGTAAAAACATATTCGACAATGGTTTTGAACGAGCATTGCACTTGCTAACATCCTGTTTTCGTAAATTTTTCCTCCGTTTTCTGATGTGTTTAACCCGATATTTTCTGTGCGTTGCCACAGTCCATGAACGAAGTGAAGACGAGATATTCAGCTGTGGCGGTTGGAAGTGTTGAGCCGTGAGAAGCACCGATAGGCTAAATGCTATTCGATCTACAGAGGAATCTAAAACTAATCGTTGTATTTCGTCATGTATCTATTTCAGCTGTCCGGACAAGAATGAACTTAGCTACCTTGAATCAAATGCAGTGAGCCAGGCCGTAAGATTCAAATTCCCCATAAGGCAGTACTTTGGGATTGCAGAACAATTCCTGTTCATCCACTTCAAGGTTACCATATGTCGGAGAAAGCAGCCACCGAAAATGACAGCAATCAACTGCAAGACGCTGGCACAGTTCTGTCCCCACCGGCGAGAGGAAACTATTATGACAGTGGGTCCATTTGTGGTTTTACCAGAGGAAGGTAAACAAGATAAAGAGATCAGATTAACAAATGGTTATTGAAGATAAATTTTTTTACTCCTCGCCTGCCCATGATAAGTGAAACTTTTATAACCAGTCTTTTTTTATAATGCGAGCTCAGCGTGATAGCTTTGGGAGGAAGAAGTAACGAGGTAAAACAAGATTTCCTCTCATACCTTACCCCATAGTTGCCCGCGTGCAACGTTCTTGCATTTCTTTGCCAGCACCTAAATTAAGAAATATATATGATAAACTGAGAATAGATAATTATCCACATTCTGTAGCAATCTCTTTATAGTCTCTCTATTTCCTTACGCTTATTTTTACATTTTTTTCCCAAAGGCAAAATTTACACGAATGAAGTAGATCAAGATGAAGTGCGTGTCAAACTCTTTGACAGCAGCTGTTTTTCTCAAGAGTACCCCAAGTTCCCAATTCATTTAGGGATGTGCAGCTATGTTTACATAGAAGTTGAAGGTAAGGAAAAGTTGCTCAAAAACTGAGTATCAATCCGAACTGTGAAGTGCGGCAAGTCGTAGTTTCAGGGTAATTTAGTGCGATCAACTGAGTTGAATACGTAAATCGGCCACCGTAAAGCGTTTAAAGGCTGAAGTTTCGAGCGTTAGCCCTTCGTCAGAGCGATTGGAGGAATTGTGGGTTGTGTGGGTTTATTGTAGAAAATAAGAATAAATTAGTTGGATAAAAAGCGCTCGTTGACACCGTTGGGATTAAGAGTGCCGATTTGGAAGATAAACTTTTGTCATAGAGTTTTGTGGCTTTCCGAACTGCCTAGATATAGGGAAAGGCCGCAAACTACTATATGTTGTTTAGGTAGATTAAAGGGACTAGCGACTGGTTTGGATGTGTCCTTGTCATTTCTTTCTACGTCGCGAAGGCGTTCTTGGAATCGGTCACCTCGTCGTCTTCCTGTTTCATCAATATATAACTTTTTGCAATAAGTCGTAATTTCAGTCTAAATGACCAGTAGCAGCTTAGGGAAGAAATTTTTTTCAGGGGAAACCTTAACAAAAACCTACGATAATAAACCTCGTTGTCCTCTTTTCCGATTTGAACCGCTGATACTCTAAACTTAAACTGACCTCCGTTTTTACCAGGTCATAACTTTTGTGGTTTTTTGTCCGATCACAATCACGTGCAGGATTTTTTATCCAAAGCTAGAATGCTTTGACCGAATGTAGTCAATGTAGCAGTGATTTGTTGTCCCACCTTGTTCATTGATAGTAGATGATATTGATCAGCTAAGTCAAAATAGACTCATGTGATTTACACTGATGTTTTATTTCATTTTGTTTATTTTATTCCTTTTCTTTTAGCTACCCTGGTAGAACATGTAGTTATTCCCAAGAAATGCCGGTTGAGTCGCTCCAAAAACTTCACTGATCACCTTTCCACGAAAGGCTATACATTACTGGAAGACAGGTGAGTATAGGGAAAGATATTAAGAGAAAACTGATTCAAATTAATTAATCAGATACAGCTAGAAATTCAATAAGCAAACGGTGGAAACTCCGAGTGAATGAATGCCCCAGAATGGTTTTTCCGGCTGGCTATCAGACTGACTGACTAGCTAACTCAGTGACTAAAATAAACTTGCTCGTTCGATCGATCAACTGACTGACTGGCTGATTTCACAATTGATCGATGATAGATCAATTGATCGACGGATTTATGGGTAGATAGATTGATTGATTGATTAATAGAGTTAACTGAATTCGTTTTTCAGTTGTCCGTTAGGTTTAGAGTTTGATTATCTACCAACACGCAACAGGGCCGTACGGTTCCGATTTACTTTTGACCATTTCTATGCATCTGCGAAGGAATGTCTTTACCTTCATTGTTTAATGATCACGTGTCAAAGGAAAGAAGTGCCCAGGATGATGCGCTTTAATTGTCTGACGCAAACACAGTACTGTCCACACCACAGAGAAAATGAAGTAACCAAGGGCCCGTTTATGGTGTGGCCGGAAGAATGCAACCAGGGAGAAGAGAGTCTGGACAAGAAAACTGTTAATTCTAATGAATTTAAGGGTAATTTTTTCAATTTCTCTTTTTTCTTCTTTCTTAGCCCTAGGTTTTTTATTAGGATTTCTTTTGGCCCCTTGTCGTTTCATTATCCAAAACCGGACATTAATTTTCTAGTGTTTACATGTGCCTTATGAAAACGGTCAACATAAATGCTCTATAGAAATCGCTCCTTAAGGTAAATGTTTATTGAAAACGGGAAAGGAAAAGCAATGCTTTCGAATTCTGATTACTCCTTACACAAAACAGTGACGGGAAAGGTCTTAACGCTTCCGTTTTGATTGTGCTGTCCAAAAACGTATATTGTGATTTGTAGAGCAAATTAAGCACCCCCCAAAAAAATTTAAAGCTGACTTTTTGAGCGTGAGCCCTTCGTTAGCCCGTCCTTGCTCTTCCAGGGGCTTATGCTCGCAACGCCAGCTTTTGAAACAGTCCTTGCGGTGGCCAATTTGCATTTTCAACTCAATTTATCAAACCAAATTATGTTGTGATACCCCCACGACAGTATCTTTGGAAACTCACACCCCCGCCAAGCTCATAATATCTTTTCTGGAGCCATTCTGTGTTCATGAATGAGGTCTCTAAATGAAAAGTAAATAAATGGAACCAACAATTACCCTGCAAACAAAATTAAATGCATAAACTAATTTCTGGAAACAGGAAGAATCTCAAGCGGTTCGTTTTGTTCCGCTTTTGTACAAAAAAAAAACGTGCTTTTCTTGATCGTTTTTCAACATTTTCCATTATGAATCGGTGAAAATAGATATTTTCGTTTTTAAGCACGTCTCATCTTGTACCAAAGCGCAAAACAGTTTCTTGTACATTTCGTAAAAGTATGACGTCACATTCCGTGGTAACGTTTCGAGAGACTGCACGTGGCCCGGCTGTGTTCAGATCAGTTCAATTTTCTACTGCACTGAAAGCTCAGGGAAAGAAAAGAAAAAATGTCTCACAGTTTGATTGTTGTGTACATCATAATCGGACTTTCAAGTCTGTCAGGTAATCTTTAAATTGAAGGTAACTAATGTAAAAAGTCGCGATTGTTCTAAACCAGTCCTTGCACACAGAACTTAGGCAACGCTACAGCACTGACCGAAATATCTTTTGAGGGTCTATTTGATAACGAAGGACGCTGAGTGCCAACGAGATTCAGTTCAGATTTCGAGCTTAAATATACCATTTATGGCTATAAAATGGAACATTTAATATATTGAATACCACGCAAATACAGGTTGCTTTGGCACAAACACGCAATCTTAGAAATATTCAGCCATCGTGCATCGTGACGCCGCCAAGCAAATCTTTTGTCCTGACTTTTTGTTAGACTTAGAAAGAGTGTCATTACGAATCAATCGCCAAGGACACTTATACAAAGGAAGAACTCCGATTACCATTTAATCTCCTAAAAACAGTCAATACAACCGCGTACCGCCTCGCAATGAAAATTATTTATTTTGAAACTCAAACCTGGTCGTGGAATCCCTGATGTTCTGAGGTAAATTCATGAATGCAAAATTTAGATGTAACATTATTACTTTTCTCAAGAGGAAGGCTAATCTCGTAATTCATATGTTTTGGTGATTTTTCTCTCTTTGATTTAAATTTTGAATGAAAGCTCAAATGCCGGGGTGAAATTTTTTGGGTACGTGACTCTGAAAGAAAAAAACAATTGAAAAAGTTGTGTCAGATTAGTGTTTTGTAGTTTAAAAAAGGAAGAAAAAAATTTTCTGTGAAATCGAAACAGTTGAAAGAACACTAAAAAATTCGCACCACCATGCAGATACTTGTGGAAGTTGTGGCACACAACTTTACCGTAACCGACCTCCCGTGATTGACAGCTGCCATTCTTGCATGTTCATTGGTCATGCAGGATGTTTTGGAAAAAACTTTGAATACATGAAATAATTTTTCAATTTCTTTCCCATAAATGAAGTCTAATACTCTATGCTATGAATGAACTTTACGATCGTTGTAATGATTGATGGTTTGGGCCTTCCTGCAGCAGCGGACAAAACTAGAATTGTTCCGACAAAATCATCAAAGACATTTCTTGCCTTTCTAGTAAACTCATTTCAGTTCAATTACACGCTTGTCGTATCTTTAACGACAAATGTTAGACAGGTTTATCACAGTTTGTCCAGTTTTCACCCGTGATAAATTTTGTTGGCGGTGCATTCGAAGATTAATCGGCATCGGCCAAAATTTGTCAAGTCGCGACAAACCATCCGCACTTGTAAAATGTTTGTGATGACAGAAAATTTGTCAAAATAAACAACTTTTTAGCAAGTGCGGAGAGGCCCTTTCTTCGGAAATGGCTTTACAATCTTTATATATTATTGACATTAACCTCGATTTCAACTGCTTTAAAGACATTTAAATTTTTTTCAGGCCTTATTTTCACTACTGCTAAAGTAGTGTTCATAACTGCGAAGATCGCTTTCATATTCACGTCTTTATCCGCAGTTCAAATATGACCTTCATATATTCACAGCCGTTTATTTACCACTTCACGGGTTTATTTGGAACCAACACAGTTACCAGCTCCCAGTTGGCTTGTTAGCTCAGTTGGTAGAGCACTGCACCGGTATCGCAAAGGTCATGGGTTCAAATCCCGTACAGGCCTGAATTATTTTCAGGCCTTCTTTTCACTTCTGCTTAAGTAGAGTTCAGAACTGCGAAGATCGCTTTCATATTCACATTTTTGACTGTACAATTAAAATAAATGTTTGGGGATTATCGTATGTGACGACAATTTAAACCCTTTTTCTTAGTTTCATTTTTTCAAGAAAAAATAGAAAATAACAATGCGATAATTTTTCTGGATTAGATAACTGAAAACTTCCTGTCGACTTCTTAAGACAACAAGCAAGTCATTTTCATCATTATACAAGAAATTTCATGTAAAAACTGTATTCTCTCTGTTAGGAGCAAATAGTTCAATCTTTGGAGAAGTTCAAGTGGAATTATTTTCGAACTATTCCTTCACCGAGGACGTCAAGTACAACAGATTCCCTATCCATTTGGACTTGAGCTCCCTCGTCTTCGTTGAAGTAGAAGGTAAGAAACTATTCTTCAATCAATTGCTTTTTTGAATATAGAAATGCAGTTTAGCTAGGATAAGATCAGTAAATTGGTCGTAAAATAGGCACCGGTGTTAACAATGATGTAAAAATATTTTCGAAGAATGATCAAGAATCTACTCATAGTTCTTACCCAAATGGAAGAAAAGAATCCGGGGTGTATTTTTTTGCCTACGGTATTTACGATTTGGGTCACCTGTGCTGCTTTCGTGTTCTTTGGATGACCGGAGGCTTCACTTCGGTACATGGGGAAGAACAGCGAGTGTTGAATTCAGTTTCGTAAAGGAAAATAATAACAGAAGAGAAAAAGGAAAGCATTGGCTCACCAAATCGACATTATGATCAATATCGAATAATACTTCTACATCCTTTATTTTAGCCATCTGGCAGGAACTTGTAGCCATTCCCAAAGAGTGTCACGTGACTGCATACAAGAACTGCTCAGATCACCATCCTAACTTGGGATATAAACTCATTTTTGATTAGTAAGTGAATTGAGTTTATTTTTTCATTAGATTTTCTCCGCTGAATGAGCAGCTGGACTGATAAAGTTCATAAGATTGCCAACTAAAGCGCAAAGTTTTGATCGGAGACGCAGAACGTGATTATCTAGTGGGCTTCGATGGAAATTAAACGGACAAACCTGCAGTTGCGCTTATAATTCCGTCTTCTGATGATCCAGTGAAAATAAGATACAAAATTGTTAGCAGACGAAGAAGAACATGTCATTACTTACTTTCCTCCATTCCAGTCTCCTAAGAAGACAAGTAGATTTATTTTTCTTATGGTGTCTAGTTGTGTAGACTTCCGGCGCCTGTTTTAGGCTCGATTACCCCCATTCCCTCGAGTGCAGTCTTCTATCCTCTTGATAGTAGGGCGATGTAATTTCCCGAACAGCGACTGGTGATCGAGCTGACCGTTGTTTTGAATGCCATCCGAGGCAGCTGCATGTACGCGACATCCTATAAAAACGGCTGCGAAGAAGACTGCTTCGACGCCCTTAATTTAATTTCAAAGGGGTGAAATCAGATTTCTTCAAAAGTTGGCGCTGTTTGTTACTAAATTTAATCACATGACACCGTCGAGCAAAACCACAGAAGTTCCAAACAACGTTAAGCACTCAATACTTTTGCCACAATTACCCTTTTTTAACATAAATTTCTAGCTGCCCTAATGATTTAGAAGTTGACTACCTCCGATCACCCACGGGAAGCCGGGCTGTGCGATTCAAGTTTCCTATAAGACAGTTCTTCGGGATAGACGAACAATTCCTTTACCTCCATTGTAAAATGACCACGTGCAAGAGGAAGGAGCCAGCCATGTTAACTGCGTTTAACTGCCTGACGCAGTCTCAGTACTGTCCTCTCCGAGAAGACTTCGACGTCTCAGTGGGACCCTTCGTAGTTTGGCCAGTAGGAATTAAACGGGATCGGGAAATCAAAGAAAACGGTTAGTACGATAAACGATGTATTGTAATCCCCAAAACGGTATATTACGAAAAGGCACCACCCTAAAGCCTACTCCCCAGGGTCCTAGTAAACAAGTGTCCAAATTTAGAGAGAAGCGTCCAATTTTAGGCACTAGTGTCCGAATTTAGACAGAGGTGTCTGATTTTAGGCACAAGTGTCCGATTTTAGACACTTGTATTTGAATTAAAACAATAGAGTCCGAATTAAGACGGCAGTGTCCCATTTTAGACACCAGTATCTTTTTTTAGACTCTAGTGTCCGATTTAAGGCCAAGTGTTCGATTTTAGAGACTAGTGTCAAATTTGAGATATTAATGTCTGATTTTGGTTACTAGCGTCCAAATTTAGTTACTAGTGTCCGATTTTAGACACAAATGTCCGATTTTAAACGGTAGATTCTGCTTTAGACACTAGAGTCTGAATTTGGACACTGCTGTCCGAATTTGGACACTAGTGTTCAATAGAAACATTAGAGTCCAATTTCAGACGCAGTTGTCCAGTTTTAGACACGATTGTCCTATTTTTCAATCTAGTGTCTAAATTTAAACAAGAGTGTCCAATTTTTGACTCTAGTGTTCGAACTTAGATACTAGTGTCCAATTTTAGACACGTGTGTCCTAATTTACATCCTAGTGTCCGTATTTAAAAATTAGCGTCCAATCTTAGACACTGGTATCAACATTTAGACACAAATATCTATTTCTGGACACTAACAACGGGTTTTTGACATTTGTGTCCGATTTAAGAAACTAGTGTCCGAATTTAGACACAAGTGTCCAATTTTAGACGCAAGTGTTCGCTTTTGGACTTGGTATCCCTTAGAGGTGTAGCATCCTTGTGTGGGTTACTGTAGAGACCACTCTCCAGGTTCTAAAACCACTTTTTTTTCTTTGCGATAACGTCAATGACCACAGCTCTTATGACGAGTCTGCTCTCCTGGCAGTTAGTTCAGTTGTAATGACGAGAAGAACGATCAACCACACCACAATAAATGACGCATTTTGGCACTTTGGTGACAGAAAAAATGGCACGAACTTACACTTTTGAAGCATCTACTTTAGCTATCGGTTAATTTTGTCTGTAAACCTCAAGTTAAAGAAAGTTTATCTCCATAGCGAGTGACAAAGCTAAGTCGGAGATTACATCCCTTCCTCACCGGCTAAACTTTAAAAAAGGGCCTTCCTGAACGATGCACGTCCTGTATTTCCAGCAATATTTTATTTCCTAAAATTTCTCTGATAGGACTTTCAGGATTCCTTTCCAAGTGAAGAGCTCTGGTTATACCAATGACTAACTTGATCTAACCTAACCTCTTGTTACAGCAGCCAAACCTACGGAACAGGAAGCTTCATCGGAATTTTCGAGCACAAACACAGATGAAAGTGAGTGTAGAAACCCTGAGGATTTTTTATATTTAACTAGGTCTAACGAGATGGATATTGACCCTTCACACCCTAACATCAGTATGCATATTCTCCACACTGTTCTTTGTACATTTCTTTAGGTTCTGACAAAGAGAATTTGTTTAACAAACAAGAGTTTCTTTGATAGGTGATCATTTCCTTTATTCTCGTTACCCTAATGTTTGATTCAGGGGTAATATTGTAAGGAGAAATTAGATGATAGTCACTCCTGGGGGTCAAAGGGTTAAGACAATCAATAGTACCCCCCACTGGCTTCGAGAAAGCTCAGTTCCCTGTAGCAAACCAGCAAAAATGGTGAAGTATATACAAAAGATCGAAGTGAGAACCGCCAGAACAGATCTGTTTCTCAACGCATTCAGCGACTACCAGTATTAAAAGTTCCCCCTTAATCAACTGAAGTTATTCACAATTCCTTTACCTTTTCCTTGCGGTACTCATTTATGCCCCCAGGCGGAGAAAACTGAAAAGTTAAAAAATAGTGGATTCCTCAAGGTCTATGATACGACGTAATTTCCCACTCAGCGCTTCGACCTGGACCTATTAATCGGCTGCAAACATTAAGCATTCACGATTCTTTAAAGAACTTTTCGATTGAGTGTCGTAAAACCAAAACGAAAGTAATTACAACCGCCCAATGAGAATTAAGAAAGGAAATACCCTGAGGAACCAATGAGAACTCAAAGAAAAAACAAGCAAACCGCCCATGCAATTATAGAGAGCGGGAAAACCTGGGCGACCAAGACATGATTGGTTCTAGTTTTTCATCTTATTGGTTGGCAGAGTGTTGCGAGTTTTCTGGACCAATCACAGAGCAAAGCAAAGCAAAAACATTGCAAGCCTGGATAACTTTCGACACCCAATTGAAAATAGTCCATTTTACAGTTGTATGCTTGGTTGCCTAGCCTTTGAACAGGAATGAGGCTAAGTTGACCTTGTTTTGACACAAACCTTGCTGCTTTTCAAATGTAAACTACTTCGTAATCATGCAAACTAGATACTGGTCTCTATCACAGCAAGGTAACATTTAGCCTCACTCCAAATCAAAGGCTTGGCAACTAAGTACACAACTATAAAATGGCCCATTGATTTATGCAGAATAGAATTTCCTAGAGCTAAGCTGCTTTTCTTTTTCTCTCTTCTCAGTAGTGTGTCTGACCTACACGGAAGTTATCATGTCAATACTCGGCCCACTTGTCGCTCTTGGTTTGATGATCGCACTCCTCGCAATCCTCAGGAAGTCTTGCATAAAAGGAAGGCGGGAAATAGAGACGGCAGTGGAAATGGAACAAGTGTAAACCAGTCAATACCCAGTACTGGACTCTTGTCTTTTCACGTTCACTCTCAAGATCCAAATACAAATTCTCTGCACTGTCTGCCAGACAGCTCCGAAAATTTGGTGTTTAATCAAACAGTATCCCCTACTTGATATTTTTGTTTCATCTCTTAACCTTTCTCTTTGAGAATGTATTGACATTGTAAGGAGAAATTTCCTTCTAGTCCCTCGTAGGAGTGGCTGGGTTTTTGAAAGAGGGTGTCGATGAAAAATTTTTACGCCTAACGGCTAGAGTTTTTGGCCGTTTTACAGCTTGCGTTTAACCCCAATTGGGGCCCTCTTAAAACGGAGCCACCCGACAGGAGACTATTTGAAAGGCTCTTTTCATAGCACGCGATGATTCGAACCGAAGTGGCTTTTGTCTGCATTTATTTTTCTAAATTAGCCGACGAACCAGCGGTAACTGAACTTGTGTAGCATACAATTCTTCCAATTAGTACTATCACAATCAACGAACATGCTTAAGTAGGAAAGTACCAGTGGTTTAAAATTGATATCATGACGGCTCAAAGAAGATTTCGTTCTCCTGTATCCGTTATTTGATCGGCTGGTTTTAAAAAGACTTTGAACCTATATAATTTCAGTTTTACCCCAAATTTTTTTCCATTATCTAGGTGGCTACAATTTCGGTAGATGCGTTGCAAGATTAATTTCATGTTACGTTGTAGAAATCTTTAAATGTTATCTCTCTTGTAAGGTTCGTTGACTAAGCATCAAAAACATATCAAGTTGTATTTTATTTTTCATCAAAACGTAGCCACGGACGATTCGGTGATTATGAGGCCACTATTTGATATGCCCCTTCCATTTCTGATGCTCGTCAATCTCGTTCTCTGGGCCTTTCTTTTAGAGTTAGGAAACATCCTGGGAACAAAGTTGGATGCCCTACCGCCTCATGGCAGGGGTGAACGAAGTCGAGCCTTTATAAAACGTTCCTAATGAAAGGATTGCGATAAGTCTAAATTGCTTTTCAGATATCTTGACTAAATTTTGACGCTGCGGTATTTTAATACCAGCTTTTGACTGATAATCCACGCGGAAAAGATAAATCCTATGTTTGTTCTGATTATGCCATATGTAACTCCGAAACACAATTATCGATTATCATCAGCACTATAATCAAATTTATTGAGGTCTTTAGACTGTATTTAGCCATTGAGTACGTAGCAATTATGATGATTTTTAGTAACTTTAATTTTCTAACGCTATATCAAAGAAACTAACAGCATGATATTAAGCAACCCACCTGAGGCTTTCGACAAGCTACTGTTGCCGCATTCAGTTGATTATGCACAATGAAAAACCCGACTTAGAACAAGAGATTTTAATCTCTTGCTCAGACCCAGTAAGCAAGCACCATTTGAATACTGGAGTGATCGAAAGACTTAAACAGACATAGTTGAGCATGCGCATGTGAAATGTCATCTGCCTTGAAAGTCTAACGCGTTGTCTTCTTGGCCATCAGACGCTTGATTCAGTTGTGGAAATAAAATATAATTAAAGCTGCTTTGATCTCTCTTGTATTTCCTAGTTTATTTGGTCTGTCCCATGCAGGGATGTGTGGATTAATATCCGTGTATCCAACACTAGCCTATAAGCTTACTAGGGTCGCTGTGAAAGCTTAAGAAAAGAGCGGAGCAAATAGAATGAGCATTTTCAAAAGTCCTTACTACTGAAAGATAAGTCAGTACCGAGACTATTTACTAATCAACGGCGGGGAGATGGATTTGCGATTACCAGGAATCAAACATTCGCGAAACAGAACTGATTTACACTAAACAGCTAATTTTTTTCCTGCTCCCAGGGGTTGAGGTGAAATATTTTGTATCTTAAGACTCGACTATTGAGTACTTTGTCAACAGGCAGTGGAGCAAAAAAGGAGCCCTATCAATAAGTTAAAATCGAGAAACCGATAAAACACTAAAACCCAATTCAATGTTAGATGTCTGGCCCACACCCACTGCGTTCTTTAACAACCGATTGCGTGTAAAAACGGATGGAACGTGCTACAAAAAACCGAGCGCAATTAACCACAGGAAAACCAGAGCACAAATAGCGAACCGGCCCCCTGAGGTAGCTCTGGCATGATGGGAAAATTCAAACGGATGACTAACTCGAAAAATGTAGGCTTAACTATTCACTGGGGTGGAAAGACCGTGACCTGTGTTATTTGCGAAAAAGACATTTTCAATTGAGTATCGAAATTAATCCAGGATTGCTTTTTCTTTGCTTCACTTTATTATGTGACTGGCGCCACTTTCTCAACCAATCAGATGCCAAACTAAGACCAATCACGACTTGGTCACTCGCGTTTTCCCGCGCCTCAGGCAGTTTGCTTGTTTTTACTTCAAGTTCTCATTGGCTCCTCGAGATATATTCCTCGCTATGATTGGCTGTTGTGGTTGTTTTGATTTTGGTTTTATGACATTCAATTGAAAAGCGCTCTGTACAATAGGTTTCATCCTCACAGTTTGCTGCCTTTGTCTGGTGCAAACACGAGATACTTTGATCGTTACTGTTTTTATAGTAATCTGCTAATCAACATTCAGTTGAATGACCTCACTCCTTTTGACGATATAAATCGAATCAATGTCGACAAGAATGTTTACGTGCCCCCTTGTGGGATTTTTGCGGTATCACAACACTCCGATGCAAAAAAGAAACCAAACAACGATTGTTTGGAATAAATATTTGCTCTAAGAGGCCGATCCATTCCACGGCTCTGAATCACGGAACTCTAAATGGACGATTTTTGCGGACCTCTGCGGGGAATAGATAACTTGGAAACTACTGTGTCAAACTAATACCGGTACACCCTGCAGTGTTTTTAGAACCCTGGAAGGCTTTGAAAATGTTGTGCTTTCGACGGAAATGCGTAATGTAACACCAAAATGCCGTGGCCAGTTTCCAATACTCATGAAAAAAACGTAAAAGGAATAATTTATTGAAAAAAGACTGGTAATCCTTGATGTTTGAAAGACGGCGTACAATTTCTTATCCTAATAAATTGTATTAAAATCCTCACAGCCTTTTGGCTTTAATTCATTTATTTCAGCTGAAACAACAATAAAAGCTGTCAAAACCCACTTTAATCTATCACCAATTCCTCTTTAAATCCTCAAACCCACCAATTTGATGACGTAAAAGTGTGCTCGCCAGACCTTACCTAGGTCACGAAGAAAGAAGTAACCAACTCTTGAGCGACGAAAAACTGATCTAAGTGCAAAGAATCGGATGATTACGATGACTGAACCATGTGAACTTTCCTAAACATTAATTTGTATTGTTATCTTTCGTGTGTGAGATTAATATTGTGATGTGAATCTAATTTGTTTGTTTGTAAAATCTGGTTTGCCAATCAACCTCAAAACAACAAAACGGTTGCTTGATTTTCAAGAATGACCCTGTCACAAAAGAAATTTGCCCTTTGGCTATCAGTGGCTTCCCAGTGGGACACTAAAGAAAACAAAACGCTTGGCATTGTTCAATGTATATGCGGTGTATGACGTTTAAGTACCTTATGCTAATAACTGAGATATCTTAAATACTTCCCACACAGACGGGACCAAATTGTATCGACTGAGGGAATTGTTATGCAAACGACTACCCTCGACACGACAGAGATTTTCGTTGAGTTGTCAAAATACCATGGCTTTGTCTCACGGATAGTTATTATAAAAATCACGGGGTCGACATAAGTACATTCGGCGTTAATTCGTCATGGGAGAAAGAACTCCTCGTCGTGGCAACAATATACTGTTTTCTGCCCAACAACTTGATCATAACGCCAGCAAAGCTCGTCATTTAAACAAGAGAGCAGGAAACCGCTTGCAAATCCGTAAAGGTAGCTTGGAGGAACAGCAGTCCACACAACTGCAATCGCTTGACTACGAGATGCGACGCCTGAAACATGAGTTGAGGGAGATCACGCAAACCTCAGGTAAATTAGAAATGAGAGATACAATAATCGAGCGGCCAATACCGGGTAAAGTTGACAGCGATAACAATACAAGAAGAAAAAAGTCTAAAAGAGCAGCGTCTACAAGAAACAATCTCGACGTCGACTCAAGGAAGGTTGGAAACTCTATCGGCGCAGCTTTGAACAATGATGATGCGCAGGATTCGCGACGTAAAAGTTTGTCGTTACCGACGCTACCTTCAATGAGTACAGCCACTCCACAGCTTACTTCTCGGACTGATTTTTCACGAGTGGATGAGAACGAAATCGACGAATCATTCACATCACCGCGAGTTTTTTCTAAGCCAAGAGAAAAAAGAAAACATTCGCGCAGTAGAAAACTTAACCTCGATGTGTCGCCCGCGGCACAAAACCTCGCAAACTCCACCGATGGAGTAACGGTAAACGTCTCTATCACAAATACAAACGGTGACACAGAACGACTGCGTCCCGTTTCGCCTCAAGGCTCGTCTAAAATCGATTCTTCGCTCGTAAATGTTAACCTCGTTGCAGTCAAAGACAGGATTCAAACTAGACTTTCTCAACCGACTATGAATAAGGTGAACGACGGTGAAGATGACGATGAGCCTGATTATACACAGTACCTTCATGTTCCCCCCGATGGGTTACCTCGGACTGTTTACCTGCTACCGCCGTTAACAGATCTTCTACAAGAGGCTAAAAAGGCCAGGTACATACGAAGGCCTAGAAAACCTTTACAAGAACTGGAAGGGGATGATCCTGATAGGGAATTAGGCATTGATGAAATATTTAGCAAGAAAGGTTAGCTTGGTATGAAACGCACACTGTAAATGTCAATACCAAGCAAAATGATTTTAAACGTCTTTTTAAAGGGGTACATAGTCAATATCTTGTAGACAGCACGTTAATCAGAGTTTATGATATAGTCCACACTAAGCATTCATGCGTCTCTTTTATTCTCCAAGAGTTTTCTTCTTCGATAGTACTCAATATCGCGCAGTCGTCACCAGTTTAGCATGCTTGGCTTTGCGCAATTTTTTTGGGTAGTTCTGTCAGGGATGAGTGAGTTATTAATGAGTCCTTAGTTCTGATGACTATGGAACGAAACGACATTGAAAGTGGCACTCTGCGCTACCGATAGTTCCAATAACAACTGAAAACTTCATCGAAAATAAAGCAAAGATATCTTGAAATCTGATCAGACTGATCGTGTCAGAATTGCTCCTGTGGTCAAACGACTGTCAAAGACGTCCTTAACAAACTTAGAGGACAATATGTGAGGCGCGCCTCAGCGCAAAATAGCGAAGTTTCTTTTCTTTTCCAAGTAAACATTGTCCCCCTTAATTACCCCGACAGCTGACAGACTAGTCATTCACACTCCTTTGCGAACTTTGAAATCATCATTCAAGTCATGTTTAGTTATTAAAATGTATAAGCATTATCTTAAGGTCGTGCGAATGTTGCTCTGACTCACAGCTGGCAGTAATACAGCAACTTGGCTTGAACTTTCGTTTCCCAACTGAATTTAAAAGGAAAGATATCACATAATCGACATCGGTCACACGAATGATATACAATTTTCAGATTGTTTTATCAAAACGGACAAAATTGTTGCAAAGCTAAATCTCCCTAAAGGAGCACAAGTTTCTAGCATGCGTCTATTGAATACGAAAAAATTTGAAGTCATACTTTGAAACTTCAGTTGTTAACTCATGAACTAGTTTCACAAATGCGAAATAAAAAAAAACCAACAACAACATTGCATTCTGTAGGAGTTAAAAAAAGTCGTTTGCCGTAAACATTAGACGGAAAGGAATCAAAATGAAATCCAGCTTACATTAACACCTTTAAAGGTCCCTGGAGTACAAAGGGTTATTTCACTCCGGGTGGTAGAGCGAACTATTTAACAATTAACACCTAATTAAAAAAGTCTTTAAAACGGCCACAAAAACAAATGAACACTCGCTGAGTATTCACCAAAGTCCGCTTGTGCTGCAATCGTTACCTGCTCTATAAGAATAGCCAAGAATTTCACAACAAATGCTATTATTGTGAGACTACTTCCAGTATTTCTCTTTTCCAACATAGACCCCTTCAGCTGTTAACACCTCTCAGGAAAAATAACTATTTAATTGAGCAAGGTATTTAATCCACGCGAATTGTTTATAATCCAAATACATGAAAGCATACAATACTGGCAGGGAAGGGCAATCCGTAGGACGAAAAGGCCGACAAATTGATCCAGTTAGCCTGAACCCTCTTTTTTTTCTGTTTTGAACTCTTCAAGAATGTGTTTGCGTCAGAAACTGCATCCAATTCCTTAGTAGCTACGTTAGGAGTTATCTATTCCCTACACAATCTCGAGCTGTCAATGAACCTGGCCACGTTTGTTAAGATAATTAAACAGAACCCTTTAGTTATTAAAACGAAGAACACACTAGCATTTGCTTTGTTATGCGCTAGGCTCTCTTCAGTCCCACGTACCTTTTAGGATCGTATAGTTTCTGTGCTATGAACACCACGGCTGCAGCGTTCACGCGCAAGGTTTACAAACAATTCGAGTGTAGTGAGAATAGCTTACTGTCATATCTTGGCAACTTTGGAATTGGGTACAGTTCTATCGTAAATGCATATTAAGGCTATCAAGGAAACAATCGCTGGGTGAACTGGATCAATTACTCGCAATTACCGTCTAGATTTGTATCGCAGTACCCATAATGGTAAAGGAAAGCATATGAAACACAGTAACCAAGGCTGCATTAGAGTCCGTAAAACTGGGGTTGGAAGTTAACCTTCACATCGACGGGGGAATCCTTTAAGTGCTAAAGAAACTACGTTGCAAACCCACCAAAAGATAGATATACGAGAGCTTAGAGTTACCCAAACAAAACTTTAATAAGTTAATTACAATTATTCAAACAATACCATAAAAATCATTAAACCTCAAAGAAATTGCCAATGACAGTAAAAGGCAAGTAGGGAAAATACAAGACCCTTAAGGAGTACCCCAACAAGATAAATTTTGGTGAAAGATCCCTAGCAGTGCCTGGGAATGGGATTAATTGACATGGGGTTTTTCGACAGAGTTTTAAGCAAGCCGAGGGAGAAGAAAATACAATTTAAAACAGCCATGGGAGAAGGTTTGGATTAGGATATCATGACAGTAAACAATACATGATCTTCAAAGTTTGCCGACACAATTAATTCTCCTCTTAGAAAGGCTGCTAACCCATGGAAGGTAAGCCTACAGCCATTCTCAGGTCCACTAGTACCTTTGTATACTCTTCGGTGGAGAAAACATTTTAAGAGGAATGTTTTTTCCAAACCAGAAATATGGTTTAACTTTGGTTCACTTCTGAATTAAAAATTTGTAGAAATCAGATGAAGATTCTTTTTTCCTTAATTCACAAACAGGAGCATAGAAGATAAGTTCATATTTTTTTTTTTTTGTATCTTGCAGAAAAAGTATCAGCACCAAAAGTAATCAATATGATAATAATCTATGGGATAAAAGCTGGTAATGACTGTCCTGCCATTAAAGTCCCGTCCTGTGAGCGCACTGTGGGCCCGCGAGCAGTCGTCAGCATTAGAGAACTCGACAAACACCTACAGAGCAAGAAAGCAGACTGTGAGGCATTTTAAAGGCTAAAAGATGCGCGTTTGAGGAAATTTTCAACTGAATGTCGTTTATGATTATTACGGAAGGCAATGCTCCATAACTGAATCTGTATCTCCAATTTGGTCGAAAAAACTCGATATACTGTCAACTAAATAGATACTAAACTAAAACCGCTTGCTACTGGCGTTTTCCGGCAATTCATGCAGTCCTAAAGGAGTTCTCGCTTTCCTTTAATCTGATTGGCCATAATAAATTCTTTACACACGTTTGACTTAAATTGCAATGCGCGCGCTCTCCATCTAAGATGCTGTTAGACAAGTAACAGAGGAAAACTTAGAGTCAATGACCCTCAAAATGCTGTATTTTGCCCTAAGGTACAGCCGAAGTGGAGTCGTAAAGTACCTTCTAACGCCACTAATCTACGGGCAGCCATCTATCACCTACAACCTTGCCTGCTAACCATTGCACGAGTAACTTGAATTGTTTATCGCTTCGTGGTCGCCCTTCGGCTCATGAAAGTTAAAGCCTCATTGCAATTTCACTCTCCCTCGCCCTGTTACCTTATATCCTGTATTTGAATCACCAGTAAACTTGAATCCCTTCACAGCACCAAACTTTGCGCACTCCTCCTTCACATCCATCAATCCGTCTGCAAAAAAATAATTTTAAATATAAGTTTAAAATTGAATATACAAATCAAATGGAAATTTTTAATGAACCATGAATCACTGAGCTAAAAAAAAAAAATGAACCATGAATCTTGAAGGCCAAATGATTCCACTTCAACTCCCAACACCAAAATATTATGAGCAGAACTGGGTGTTCATGTGACTGATACAGACCCAGAATCACTAAAACACAAGCTTGAGCAGTGTATGAATTGTATATGGTTAAATTCATTCTGGTTGAAAGATCTTCACTCGAGTTTAATATCTTTTTTTTTTCTTTTTTCTTTTCTCATTATTAGAGTCTAACACAAAGAAAATAATAATCAAATTGGTTTGAAATTAATTCAAAATCCAAGACAACACTGAACCACAAAAAATACATGATGATACACTTCATTCACTGTAACCAGCCATTCCATTTTCATGCTGAAGATTGAAAAAACATTTTCTGACATAAAAACATTAGAATTGTCACAGTTTTTTAAATATTTTAATTCAAATAACAAAATAAAAATTATGTTTACCAAATAGTAAATCAGTGGAGAGGTCTTCTAAAAGAATGTTGGTCAGCTGTAAGATTCTAGTTGGAAGCAGTAACAACTCTGTCAAACCCAATGGAACATTCCAGGTGGAACCTTCTGTCAGTGTGAAGACCAATAAAATTACCAAAATAATATAATTTTAAGTCTTAGTGGGTATAAAATTAATATTACTCCATTTACAACCAGTTATCCTTTAGATGAATTTTTCAAATTTATTATCTATCACAAATAACTTTGTTTGTGGAAAAAATATATGAAAGTATCCAAACTGAGAATGGCACCCAACTCTCTCTTTATGCAGCAATAACTGCACAATAATCTAATTCTCAAAATAAAGTTAATCAAATTTCTTTGCTGATCTGAAGTCATACAAAGAGGGTATCATTTCATGTACACATGATGCAACTGACACACATCTCCTTGTGGATACTTGGTAATTCAAAACCAAGTTTGCCAGGCAATCAGGTAGAAAATCATTATGGACAGAATTCAAAAGAACAGAACAGTCCTTGGTATTTCCTGACACTTAGCTCAGGTCTGCTTTCTGTTAAGATCTGATGCTAATGTTATATGGAGAGTATAAATTCTTTTGTGTAAAGCTAGGAAAATATACAGTCATGTACATCATGGAACAACTCTCTTAAAATCCAGCAAGACTTCATTTACTCACCTGATATTTTTTTAAATCAGTTTCTAATTCAAACAAACCATAGAGCTAAAATATAGGTACAATTGATGTGACTTAGAAAAATAATTCTGTACATTAAGTTGCTCTTTGGCAATGCTAGTAAAAGAAATCAGGTATTTCTTAAGGGCCACAATTGTTCAGACAAACCACCAAAGGCCAAAAAACATTCATGGAACCTTCTGACAGGTTTTTTTTTGCTTACCGTTAAGAAAGGAATGCTGCATGGCATTAAAAGGTGTTATCCTCTGCTCTGGTTTGCACTTCATCATTCTGCAGGTCAAAGTAAATTTAAGTTTAGTTTCATTCAAAAATTCTTAATTGACCACAGATTTATCAGAACTCCCTCAGCTTCATAGGATTGAGTGTTTCTGATCTCAACAATGTTCATTATTGTGTACCCTAGGTAAATAAAACCTGGATTCTTCACAAGAGAAACTGTGGTAGGCCATAAATGAGGTGCCTTCCAGTCATACCAGAGAGTTGCATCTATCTGAAAGCCTTAAACTTTCTTTTCCCTTGAAATGAAAGAAATCTGGACTCCAAAACCAGCTGAGGGGGAAAATCACGAGTACAAGATCCTTAACACCTAATCCCCTATGGGGATTAGGTTTTGTATGGGCAAGTGTAAAGGACAACTGTAGTACACAGTTGGATGTCAGCTCTTTTGGGTGGAAAGAATGGAACAGGGTTAGGACATTTTTAAAAGCTTTTTATTAGGTTTCAATTGGAACATTATTCTACAGGTCATGTGCTTTGCATTATTCTGTCAAACTTCACATATCTCTCATATCAGCTATGCTCCTCAGTTGTACTGAATATAGAATGCTTAACATCTCTGACAGATTAAAGTTCACACGGCAACCAGGTGGACAATCAGACATAGTTTGAAGCTACACTGGTTTGCAGATTTAATGAATGTAACCGAAGAAGTTACAATTCATTAAATCTGCAAACCAGTGTAGCTTCAAACTATGTCTGATCTCTGACAGAGATAACCAAGGTATAACATGTACAGCTGTTAGTAACTAAATGAAAAAGTTGATAATTCAAAAGCAAAATGTTCATTAAATACTTACAGTACCTCATAACAAAGTCAAGAAAAAAATTATGTTGTTCAAGCGTAATCTCTCTTTCATCTTGAGGTAATTCCTTCTTGATTTGCTGGAAATGCATACAATCCTGAGGGAAAAACAAAGTTTAAAACTAATTAAGTCAATATACATTTTCTCCATACTTATCACTATAAACTTCCTAAGGTGCTGACATGGAGAATTTGTATAAAAATCAAGAGCTTCTTCAGTTGTCAATCATTTCCTTTATTCATGGGACCTAAATGTATAATTCAGGGGTGATATTATGAGGAGAAATTAGATCCTGGTCACTCTTAGGAGTCAAAGGGTTAACTGGCTAAATGTAAGCCACATTTACAGCTGTTTCAAATGGAGTCAGTAATTCCAACACATATCCTAAATATTTGTAGCTACCTTTTCTTGCAAGCACATGGTACAGACTGGTTCATGCAATTCATGTCTGGGAGCTGGGTGTCCTGTGTACATGTACCATAGTACATAAGAAAAGCTCCACATGTCACAAGCAAACAAACATTTCTGCAAAAATGTATCAAAGAAAGTCATTTGTGAGGTGGTCCAAAAGAGGGTTGGTGTAACCTTTTTTAATATTGCCATATCCCTGTTTAATTTCTGGAGATCTGTTCTTAAGTACTCTGGACAACTCACCGACATACTATTTTCAGTTGTACCATGAGGAACTAGTCTGTTCCACATTTGCACCTCAGGAGATTGGTAACCAGGGCTCTGAAGAGGCTGAGAAGGCTGAAGAATATAAAACAGATACTAACGTTGCACAATTATCTGTATTTTTTCATATATTTGATGAATTTTTTCATGACACTATAATGGTACCAAAACATGTTCTCTTCAATTCAATACATTTAAAAAGCACTGAAACCTTTGACTCTCAAAATCTCAATCAGTAGTGATTCTCCTTATTCTCTTTCCTAAAATTTGTATGGTTTTAGTTTGGAGAATTCAGTATTGGATCTACCAATAATCTCCTAGTTGATATTTCCTATATTGTTGTAAAGAGAAATTTTTTCTTGGTCACTCATGGGAGTTAAAGGGCTAAGATAGCTGACTGTCAGCCTTATTTTCAAAAATCTCTAGTGACCAACAATATTCACCATGACAATTGAAGTGTTAAGACATTCTTCAAGGTCTCACACATGGTGACTCATGGGGGTTAAAGGTTTCACAGATTTATCAAACATATTGCTAGCCATTTTAACCATCCTTACATCCTTCAAATTATGATGATTCCCCAACCCCAAAAGCATTTTCAAAACTTTGTACAGAAAATCACTGTCAGTGAAACAAACACAAGACTCACTTGAAGATGTCCTTCAAGGAAACTGAGTCCAAAATCCACCAGTTGAAAGATACCTCTGTTTGGATTCCACATTATATTGGACATCTTTAGGTCACCATGAACAACTCTTTTGATGGCTAAAAAGCTCAAGGCTTTGACAACATCTTTAGAACATCTTCTCACAATAGAGATAGGAAGACCTTTGCCTGAGTACTTAAGCAAAATGTGATGAAGATGACAATCCAACTGCTCAAAAACCAAGTAGAAATTACCTCTATAAAGGAAGTAATCCAATAAATGCACTGAAAAGAAAACAAATATGCACCATTAAATAAGCAAAAAAATCAAGGTGATGATTTTTAGACCTCTCCCATAATGGAGGGGCCTAATTGTTAGTGCTATACATGCTTGAAAGCAACTCACTGATACCACTAGTCAACTTCCCGATATTTTTGGTCAATTTCCCAACATCAACTTGCTGTCAACTGTACTAGGTTTACATTTGCTGATTGTTCAGAGAAATCACTGGCCCAATAACTCTCACTGAATATAAGTCAGGATTTAAGTGACTGAGGACATTGGCAAAGTGACAAGTAAATCAGCAAGTTTACCTGAGGTGATGACTATGCAAATTGACTAATTGTGTCAGAGAGTAGATTTTTGGCAAGTTGACATGTTGGCAGAGTATCTGAGTACCATTCAGTCAAACCATTAGCTCACAGTAACACTTGTACAATGACCAGCCTCCCCACCCCCCTTAGAATTAAGTTGGTCAACTTTGATACAACAGTGAGTCACGACCAAACTTTTCACCTTTGTCAAAACCTTTCTTGAATCATCTTTTTTCTAACTTTCCAGTTAACTCAGCATTGAAAACAGTTTCAAATGCATATAAAAAATACTCACTATGGTAATATACGTCGAGGGATTCACTTTCATGACATAAATACTGCAAAATCTTTATCTCGTTGAGAGCAGCTTGTTCAAATTGTGATCCTTCCTTGAAAACCTTGACAGCTCCTTTAACAGCTCTCATACGCCCACTCTTGTAGCAGAGGGTCCCAGCAGCCTCAAAAACCTCACTACATGTTCCCCTTCCAATACAGATACCAAGTTTCCATTCGTGCTCTGTAATCTTCAAAATTTCACCCTTCCTAGCATCCATGGAGGAGACCACCTTTCAAATTGGGAAAGAAAACATGCAATTCGCCACACAACACTTTTCCGATAATCTCTGTAGGTGGAAGTGACCAAAAAAATATTCTTTAATTGAAATATTCTAACATGATCCACGGAAATCTACCCAGCGGTCGAAGACAAAATGTAGTAGCATGAATGCACTCGACGCATCTTTCAGACTTTTATTCAGTTTACCTGCTCACTGCAATAAATTCATTCCTTCCAGCAGATGGGCTTGCATTGTTGCTTTTATCTTCCCAACACATGTTCAAGAAAAAAACGAGCCTGGAGATCGGCTAATAATGTTCCGTTTCTGAAGCCACCATCTTTGTAAACAAATGATTGTTGGTGAGATGGGAGGGGTGGGTGCGTGGCTATGAAAGAAGTTCGAAAGGCGGAAAGATAAAATTCATGTTGTTCATGATGCGCCTTAAAGGCGACATAAAAATAAGTTAGGTTGTTCATGAAGTGTTCTCCTCTTAATTTTGCGTTTGCTGTTATCTCAAGCAAAATGTATAACTAGCAGGGACCCCCAGAAAAGGACGAGCTTTGGACTAATGGGACTGGGTAGAAAACAATTCTACGCCCGCGAATTCTGGCAGCGTTCTCAATCGTAGAGCACGCGTGGAAAACGTAAACACACATGGACTAGCAGTTTTTTCGAATCAGAGATGTAACTTATGGTTTTTCTGGGGAAGTTAATGGCGTTTTTTTAAAGCAACATGGAAAATAGTTCGTGCAAACAAGAAATGGAGGATCCAGATTATCAGTCTGCCGGCAGTAATCAACGGGAACGAGAGCGAAGAATTCTGACCTCAAGACAGCGAGATGCAAAGGAACAAACTATTCAAAAGATCGATAAAATAATTCGACAGCAGTTCGCTCTGGAAATACATCTCAAAGAAAGAGAGATTGAAGTGATTGACGATAGAATCGGTCATGCTAAAGCCATGTTAGATAGGCTGAGAGCGTGCGTGCTGGCAAGGTATTACGGCTCATCCGAAAGCAGAGGAAACCAATCTAGAAATCGTTCTCATTTCAAGAATGAGGGATGTGATCGAAGAAAGTCTGGTAGGCATCTTGCAAAACGAGTCGACTTTCAAAGGATTCCAGACAACAGAAATCCCACTAAAGAAACGATCAGTTCAATGAGAAATGTTAAGTCAGAAGTAAGGGAGACTTTGGAAGTTAAGAAATCAGAGGCCTTTGAGACAACAACAAGTACTGATGATCAACTTGTTGGCAGTAGGAATCAAATTGTCGACGTTGTACTTCACACGAAACAAGAGAATTGTAGCACTACTCAAAATGGAACAATTGCATCTGGAGAACCCGCTCTCTTGAATCAGATCGTGAAGGAAGATCATTCTGATAAACCAAACCCCGAAACACGCAATGGAATCACTCAAAACTGTTTAGAGAGTAGTACAAGTCAAGAAAACCCACCAATTGCAACAGCAAGCGTTTCATATGCAACGCCCATGATTGTTGCTAGCGCTGGATCGCGATTTTATGTCAAAAAGCGAATCATTGTTGGGAACACATCAAAGTACATATCGTTAGACAGGCGGGAGGATAACGACAAATCGACCCACAAGTGGATGGTGTATGTTCGAGGTCCACCCGAAGATCCGAACATTGATCGATTTGTAAAGAAAGTGTGGTTCTTTCTTCACCCGAGTTATCGTCCGAACGACATAGTGGAAGTCAACAAGCCTCCTTTTCATTTGACCAGAAGAGGTTGGGGAGAATTTACAGTCCGTGTTCAGCTACATTTTGTTGACCCTAGGAACAAGAGAGTTGACATCTTTCACGAACTTAAGTTAGACAGAACCTATACAGGACTTCAGACATTAGGCTCCGAAACTGTTGTGGACTTGGAGCTGGATCGTAGGACGATCAAAGATAATTATATACCAGCTTCTGTAGAAAGTGTTTCTGAAAATCTTCCCACTGTTTCTTCAAATGCGCATCAAGAGCATGGTGATGATGCACTTAGAAACACCGCGAGAGACCTTCAGAACAGCAGAAATCAGCTTCAACATGAAACGCTTCCGACAGTTAGAAAATTTTCGGACACATCAGGAATGTCATCACAATATCCTCAACTGAAAAAAGTGAAGTTGGAATCAGTCTCCGCGGGTTCATCAGCAATTTCTTCCGCAGTGTCATCACCCGTTAACAGTCAGACATCATCGAGGTGTGGCAGCCCAGAGCTAATTTCCGGACAGAACCAGTTCACGGAAGAAGTTAAAGAACAGTTGAGGAAACTTTTGAAAGAACATCCCTTGATTGATCCTGCAAGAAACGTCGTGAAGCACCATTATTGTGCTGCCACTTCGGAACAGTTTCTTGGTTGGAATATTGGTAAGAGAAGAGCCTGTGAGTGGCAGAGGGCAGCGGCTGTAAGGCGCCGTATATTAAGCTCGATGCCTTTATGTAAGCTCAGTATCAAAGATATCTTAGTCTGGTGCCGTCGGTTTGGTTACACGCCGTGTGACAAAGTGTCAGCGGAGGAAGTTTCTTTCTGTAATCCGTGCGGAAGCTGCCTTGGTGTTCAATCTAAGGTGCCCTCTGAAGTAGATGAAGGTCATAAATGCGAGGAACTGTGTTTCAATGGCCTCACGCTACCATCTACCCTTTTCCCTGAAGTGGAATTGAGAGAAAAATGTCTTCCTGACATACCACGACCTGACGACAACTCAGAAGACCTGGAAATCGATGTGGTTGGTGACATACCCAGAGAAAAGGCAACTAAGCCTCAGGATGGGAAACCAGTTGTGTATACCATTCCGTCAACTCTGGAACAGAATTGGATCCGTGAAACGTGTAGCGACATGGGTGTCAAGCTGAAGACTGTCTATACCGATGGAGTAAATGTGCAGGTTATTGAAAGCCTTCTTTTGACGGCCTGCAAAAGATTTGCTGAAGATCTATTACGTCAGTCATGGGCTTGTGCCGCTGACCAGACTACGTCTTACGGTCCTAGGCTTGTGACACCAAGTCACGTGTACAGAGCTGTCTGTTCTCTTCCTCACTGCGATTTCCTTACCAGTATGTATCTCGGAGAAGTTTTGCCAAAGGATGAAAAGTAAAATTTTGTTTTGGAGCTGAATTTTTGGTTTTGGAAAATGACCGGAACAGTACTTTTTTTCCACGCATCTCACTTCTGAAACTTCTCACGTGCCTGTTCTTTGTAATAAAATCACCAAATTTCATTGCCAGTTGTGATGCTCTTAGCTGTCCTCTCTCGATTGTGTACATGTTAGAGAAATCCCAATTGATTGGCGAAGTTAATTCCGGATTGCTTTGGTTTTGCTTCACTTCGCAATGTGATCGGTCCCGAAAAACTTGCCAATAAGATTCAAAACTAGAACCAACCGCGAATTGGTCACGTGCATTTTCCCGCGCTTTGGGCGGTTTGTTTCTTTTTGGTTTGAGTCCTCTTTTACCCTTGAGATATTCTCCTTTTTAATGATTGGCTCGTGTGATTGCTATGGTTTTGTTTTAACGGCATCCTGTAGCAATTCAGTCAATTGGTGGAGTTTACAGTTTGGATAGTTCTTTGTGTTAGCTTCTAGAGTTGTGTTAGTATTTTTACGTAGCCACGTCGCATTGCCCCAAAAGTGAACAAGTCTGGCCCAAAAGTGTCCTTCCTAAACCTTTTGAGCCCTAAGAGTGACTAGCATTTAATTTCTCCCAACAGTATCACTCCTGAATCACACATTAAGGTCATGAGAATAAAATAAATGATACTAACTAAAGAAGCTCTTGAATGTGAAAGAAATTCTCCTTGTCAGCACCTTCGGAAATATATAGAGAACACTATGGAGCCGCAGCATATATTCTTATGTTAGGGTGGGAAGGGTTGAGTATTTTGTCAATCTCCTTTAGCAAACAAAGATTCATACATTCTTATGTTAGGGTGGGAAGGGTTGAGTATTTTGTCAATCTCCTTTAGCAAACAAAGATTCGGGATAAGGGAGTTTGTAAGAACAGTGGTATTCTTCTTTCCTCGATGACCGAGCACAAAATGGCCGAATTAATGTCGGTATTAGAGCAACTGCGCGCCTACCCCTCCCTTAAACCAATGTTAACCACAATGCAACTTGTTATCAGTTGACTGTTACTGAGTCAAAGGAGGGTAATTGCACAATTACGCAGATACTGACATTTACCATCTTTTTCAATCTATTTTCACAAAGGATTGGGAAGTTGGTCGAGAGCGGCTCTCTTTTATCAAAAAGCTTACCTTTTTAGCACAAGCCTGCCGCCTCTCCATTTCATTTCAAATTGAAATCATTGCAATTACTTTTTGTCATTTTTTTTTTTGGTTCATTTCACTGATTTGAGTCTGTTCATTCGCACCCAAATCATCATTTTTTATTAATTGTTTCTTAGAGCGTGCGGTGGTGCACGAAGTTTGTTTGGCTGTTGTATTCCAAACACAACGTCCCGCGATTTTATCTCACCCTTTGTCAATAAGTTAAATTATGCCCAACATGTGGCGCAAGTGCTATCAAAACTTGAGTTGGCGTTCCTTAGTTCTGATAACATTATGAGTCAAAGCAAGAGGTAACAACAATTAATAGAATCGATGGTATCACAGCCCCTGGATCTGAATTATATATCAGGGGTAAATCTGTTACACTACTTGCGTATTTGTAAGGATCACTTCAGGGAAAAAAGTCGACGATATCTGATTTTCATGATAACTATCTTTGAAATTAAAAAAAAGCTTACTGTTCATCATGATTCGACAAATGGACAAATAAACAATACTTTACGAGGAGCAAACGTTGGGTGGAATATTGGCTCACAAATGATTGAGGGAAAAACCCCTCGAGCGGTGAAAACGTCTAGAAGTCTTTTAAACAAGGATTTACAATTTTCTTGATGAAGTTGAACTATTTTGCGAGTTCGTCGCTGAAAATTAATAAAAGTAATCACTTGTCCATATCTCAAGATGGCTGAAACTTGTGAATAAAGAGCAATTGAAAAACACTTTTTAAAAAAGCAGATAAGCCCCCGGACAAACGCTTAACATTAAAAAACAAAACCCTGAATATGCCACAGCTTGTGGAGTTTTCTTTTCTTATCTCTGTGTTTCTATTTTCCCAGAGAAATGTCGGCAAAATATTAAACTTTAATTACTAACATAAACGTTGCACGAGAATGAGAGCTTTTACAATGAAATAAAGTAAATACTGAGTTGTCCTCTTTTCATATGCAAGAGGCAATTTTCCAAACAATTTAAGAGAGCCAAGAAGTCATATTTTCCGTTTGCAAGTCACAGAAAAGGCTCATAACTATGACCTATAAAAGCAACACGTCACCCAAGTCAAGAAAAAAAATCATTAATTGAACTTGGGTGAAAAATGTGAAATGTTTCTTTGCAGACTCGTTATTATGTCCTTGAGATGAATGCCTCTCTCAATTTTTGTGTTTACAAGGAGAGATGGATATCGTGACAAGAAAAACCATGTTCTCATTCCAGGATGATAAAAACTTACACGTCCCAATCACTGTATTTGTGTCAGAAGTGATGCTTTTAAGACAAAAATCTTGTAGACACGACACAAATATTTCATATGGTTGTCTTTTTATTTCCTATAAAACGGTACTTGAGTAAACTGGTGTCAACTCATATGTTTGAAACTAGCAGCTCATGTCAATTACATTGACAGCTCAAATGGAAGCGGGCTATAAACATTTTACACTGAATGCACATTAAAGCTTTCTAGCAAATTTTATTTTTACAAAATCATATTTACATTATATACAACTTTTTTAGCGCTGAAGTACTTTTTTGACCACGATTTTTACTGATTTGCCCTCATTAACGGCCAACCAGTTAAAAACGAAAATTAATAATATTTCACGGCGGAAACTAGGTACGGTAAGGTTCCAAAATGTCCTCTGCTGCATGGATAGGTATCAAATATGATAATCCATTTTAAAAGTCAGTTTTAAGGCACTCAGTCCTACAACTTTTTATTTTCAGCGTAATTAAGAATGAGCTCTTCTTTTTGCTTCAGATAATCTTCAAGTATTGGGATGAGCACTTAAGGAGATTGATGAACAAAGCCGTATGTTTGCTTTCAGTATGTTGAAGAAGACCGCCTAACAGTGATGTGGCGTTCTACAGTTTCCTTCGTAATTAAGTAGCATATTCCGAAAAAGCACAATTCTTAATTATGGAGTCGCGTTTTCTAATTTGCAAGAGTCTGGTGAATGTTCCATATGACTTGTCTCTTCAAGAAGACTTTGCTGTTTCTGGGCTGCTACTTTTGCAGCCTCGTGCAAAGGCCTATGCCGAGCAGATTTTTGATGAGCCCGCAATCCCGCAAGCTGCGAGTAAGCGAAGTGACACACATTGCACTTGTACGGTTTCTCTCCTGTGTGAAGCCTGGTGTGGTTCCGAAGGGTCGAAGATTGCGAGAAAGACTTCTTGCAGTACTTGCACTGAAACGGTTTCTCTAGGGTGTGAATGCGCATGTGCGAGCGCAAATTGCTTCGAGAGTTAAATCCTCGTCTGCAAAGCGTACACTTTAATCTGCCTGGTACCACGTTGCTTTTCACACGGTCTTGGCTGAACTTGTAAACTGAATCTCCTACATGAAACAAAAAAAGGAAAGAAAAAAATCTGTCACTTCAATTTTTTCCTCAAGTGCAAACAAAGATATGTTTCTCTAGGATAAATATTCAAAGAAGATCTCCTGCAATTTAACGCACGGTTGGGCGCGATTTCCTGTTTTGATAATGACAATAGCTTAGAGGAAATGTGGAAAGTGGTTGGGGAGGTTCAATTCCAAGATAAACATTTCACGCTGTGTTATAAATCATGGCAAGTGCTTCGGAAACAGCTTGAAATCAAAACTAGAAATAAAACGTTTTCTTCTTTACAATACAAAGCCATAACAATAACCCTTCGTAAAGATAAATAGGGTGTTTGAAACACTGGAAAATAACTGAGGAAAAGACGCATGTCGAACCTTTACAGCAAAACTATCCTTTTTTCTCAGACGTAAAGAAACTAAAAAAATTTGTAGTTTCCTCACAGTCCTAAGAATTGAATACAGGAAATACATCTACATTACTTCTAAGAACTGTTTAATTACCATTTCTCACGGCAAAGTTTTGGTGAGATGTTGGGAAGTTTATTTCATACTTGACAAAGGTACTGGTGACATTTCCGAATTTCTATAAATTCCAAAGATTATAATTATAATACAGACGCTGAGGTTAGGCACAAAAACTCTCTTGCGTAAGTATTGCATGATTAATAAACCATTCAAATTAGAAAATCTCAGCAAGAGACATGAGGAGATTTTAGGTTAGTTAAACAAATCTATACTTGGTAGGAGCCTCGAAGGGCCAAATGAAAACTTTCATTAAAGTTCAAGCAACGCTGGAATCTTGTTTTATTGAGTGTTTTAAACATGATGTTAAAATAAGTCGCATTTTAATAATGAAGAAATCGCCATCTGCGGCTTTGGCTGAGAAATATAACAGTGTAGTGAGAGAACGGCACGTGGTAAATATATTATGTTTTTCATCCGGTGAAAATCATCAAAATAACATGAGAATACCAACTTATTGTAAAAAGTGAAGAAATGCAAAACATATACGAGGTGGGGATAAAAATACTACTGAGATTCAGCTTGCCTAAAACTTAATTCATGATGATACTTTTGAGAAATTTTTGGTGAGATCTCTCTGTTTGGTTGTAGTGGGTGAAAATTCATTCAATTCTCTCCTTTCATTGGCAGAAAGAAGTGTAAATTGCCACGCTTTTCGTTCTTCTGTTCATCTATTGTACTATTCTAGCTTCAAACACGATGCTTAACGTGCGATGCTTTGGAGTGAGAAAGATTTCCTTCGCCCCGAAGCGAAATTGTGTTTCTTCTTCATCGTTAATGCAGGGCGTGGTTATTTCAAACTTGGATTCGACATTGGCATTAGAGCACGTAAACTTAAAATTCATATACAGCTCATATTCCATGACCCAGGGGGCAAATAAGTGATTTTTGATTAACGCAAAAGCCTCAGCGTGGAAAAAAATGACATTGTTGATTCATGATATGTGATACGTGCATTCATCATAAACGCTTCTTTACAATTATGGGAGAAGAAATAAAAGAGAAAAAATAAAGCTGTTTTCAAAACCAGGTGACGAACCCAATAAAACCAATTTAAAACTCCTAATTACCTGTGGTTCCGACCCACCACATTTATTTCGAAACTCAAGAAATGCTGATGTAATTAGAAATCACATCTACGCAGCAAGAAATAATAATCAGCAGACACACTCCTAAGTGAGTGCCGCTAAATCTTGCGTTAAATGAAATAAGTAAAAGTTGCCAAGCGCATTGTGCCATTGTTGGTGTACTTTAAAGTTTTCGCAAAATACTGACTAAATTAAAACTAGATTAAACAGAAAAACACCCCGAGAAATTAAAAAAGGACCCGATTTACTAAATCTTGACGCATTTTGCGTGATTTGTTACAGTAAACGAGGGAACTAAAATGAATGCGCAGTTCCACAATGGTGAATAAAAAAGAAAAAAACGCAAATTGCTCAAGGGTAAAAAAATGAAAATATTGGCTTCACAATGCCCTTTCCATCACCTTCAGTTTTTTCGAGTAGTAAGCCATTCAAGCGAGATAGAATTTCAACAAAACTAGTGTGATGTTATCAGAATACAAAGGAACCGATTTACAGATATCACCAAAATCACCTGTTCCTCTTTCATTAGCGCCAGAGACAAGAAAAGAGAAAAGAAAACGTTGGCTCGAACGAAGCGTAATTAACATTGCTTGTCAGTGTTTACGATTCGCTGTTTTACCTTTCGTCCTTAAAAAATCTGTCTGTGTGTTTTAAGTTTTGCAGCAATCGATAAAATACGGTGAACTTTATTAGAAAAGTAAAACACTTCATAAAAAAATCTACAAACTCAGGCGACGACCAGGCGAAAGGTCTTTTTTTAATACTATATATGCCCCTCCTTTCTGTTTGCTAAAGCTCTTTTTATTAAACCACTTCGTTTAAATAAACTTCCCTTTAATTGAACACTTTTAAACATGCCGAATTGGAACCGTTTACAAATCATTACAGTTAATCCATTATTAATTTTATACCCAAGCGTCCTAATTGATTTTTCTTGAAAGCCTGCTAAATTAATCGAAATCCAGCTGTCTCAATTTCAGCATACTGTTTTCACTCCCAGATCAGCAGTAATACAATCTATTTTCGATTCTCTTTAAAATAAACTGCATGAGCAAATTTACTTTGGCTATCGGGGTAAAGAAAATTTTTCTGTCTGATGGTGGCGTGTACTCTGAATCAGTGGGTAGACCCAATTTTCGAGTTTTAAAAATCGCTTTGGGCTACATCGGGAAAAATAAATCAGTAATAACAACTAAGTTTCCCGCAGTAATGTTTACAAGATAGAAGTTTCGAAATTTTGTTTCCGGAAGGAAAATATGCGCAGTTGGAAGGGCACAAGTGGGGGTTATGAAGCTGTAATTTGCACTTTTCCATTAGATGTACATCAGAGAGCATCAAGGAGATGATGTTAGCTCGAGGCTTAACTCCCGAATAATTACTATATTTATCTCGACCAGTAATCAGTTTTGTGGGTACTAAGCCATCTAAGGCAATGATTAAGCGGAAAAGGGAACGCGCAATTTGCTGGTAAACATCGAAATTTATAAAAGATAATCGAACCCTTTTTTAAAATTAATTCCACTTTTCCTGTGGATTCCTTCGACAGACTTAAACAAGTTTTAGCATTGTTCTCTCCTGACGCCTCAGCCTAGCCGGTTTTCTTTTAATTGAACGTCTCCAAAATAGCTACACCCCATAGATAGGCTCATTATAAAAAGCGCTGGGCGCCAACGACCTTGCTTCGTAATTTGTAAATGATAATATCTGTCTTAAGAAAGGCTGAATACCAAACACTGAGCCGAAGTTTTATCACCCACCACCCTGTTTTAATATTTATTGGATTGATTAACTCCGGATCCACACGTTTGGAAATGCAAATTTCCCAACACTCACCCCTTTCCTTGAGTATAAAAGATAGCTGTTAAATCCGAGCGCAGTTTGTTTTAGTCGCATATTTCTTGGTTTAAAAGGGATTAGTAGATCGATGCGACGACTGAACACGAGATGTTATGAATTCTCTTCTTTGCTTGTCACAAATGTAATTCTCAGCGTCGTTAGCAGTAGAAACACACAACACTCCAACGAAACATCTCAATAACAACAGTATACTAATGTAGATAATAAACTTGCACAAAACCGTGATGAAGAATTGAATTCAGTTCCGGTGAAAAAAATAACAAACTCGATGGCACAGCAAGGTTTTTTACTGCCAGTATAAACATACATACATCATGATTTACTTTATGTTATTATACCCCGTAAATATTCAAAGTATTCCTCGACAAAAAATTTTGGAATCAAAACATTTATTGCTGGCAGTAAATATAATTTTTTAAAGCCTTTTCATAGAAGTATTTGAAAAAAATGAAAAAATAAGAAGATTTGTTTGTGCAGTTCCTGTATTTTGTTAAGTCGGCTTGTAAATTTAACAAATTCATCGCGGCTAAAAATATTAAAACTTACATTTTTATTCCATTTTATAAAGCACTTTTGCAGGTGTTGACAACTCCTATGCGCATTGGGAATTGAAACGAAAGTCTTTTTTTTTTTTTTTCTTTTTCGAACACTGGAGTATTTTGCAACGAAGGTACAAGTCGGCGAAATGCAAACACTTTTGAGACACGGTGTACATATGAAAACTTTGAGTAACTTAAACTGTTGATTTTTGGTGAAGGAGAAGAGGGTAAAACAGGAAGCATGATTTTCAATCAGAATACTACAAATTTCAAAGAAGAAGATCGAGGTATTATTTTCAAGTCTTGAAGCAAAACACTGTGTGTTAGTGTGTGTAATGTAGGCTGTACATCACCTTGGTCGAACTGATTTCCGATGCGGCACAATAAAGAGACAATGTACTTTTGAATCTTTTCTTACAAGTGCAACTCACATTTCAAATTTGCGTGAGATGTCGTGGTTTCTGCTCGACAAGCAATATCATGTTATAAGCTGCTCAGTGCTAAGTTTACGCGAGCAAGAGTTAATTCCAGACTCAGTACTAACCGTGTAGCTGAGAAGGTTCTGGTTCTTCTTCTTCCTCCTCAGGTCCTCTCCTTTTTCTTCGCACGAAGTCGTTCACCGGCGCAATTCCCGGGATCCCGAGGAATTGAACGTAAGTGCCGCCATACCAAACCAGCAGTTCCTGATCTGGAGGGATGTCTTTGACCGCGCGGTAATAAATATTACCACCGTATTGAAACACGTCTAAGTTCTGTTCTTGTTCGTTCCTAGCGCAGTTCACAAAGCCCATCCAATTACGCGGATTTTCGTCTTTCGCGTCGAGAAAGTGACTAACCGTTCCGTCTTCATTAAGAACCTGTTTTGAAGCAGATTTCAAACAACACCATTCACTTAGGTTCGTATTTTTAAAAGCGATATGTTCAAAGAAGAAATAAGTTTCATCGACTTTGTATGGTCAGAATATTCAAAACGTTTTCCAAATGATTCTTCACTAAGTAAAGGGCATTTCAATTCATTCATTCTTTACTCTTAGATCTTGGAAAAAACAAACAATGAATGCGAGAAATTTGGTCGACTTTGGGAACGCAAATATATTTATTGAGAGTTCGGGTTTGTTCTTGATTCAAAGAGGCTCTCGAGTGACTTGTGTACTGTACAAACAAAGACCAAATCACGGATAGATTACCAAATAAAATTTCAGAATTTATCGCTTTCGGAGTTAAATTCGTTTATTTCGAATACGACAGTCTAATGTTGAAAAATTTCCATGCCGCAGTGGGCATGTCTCAAAAGAAGAAAACAACCGAAAAGTGTTTGTTTTTTCATTTCTTTATGGTTTTTGCACTCTATGCTAACACTCTGCACAATTGTAATGGTGTTTTTAACCTTATCTTAAACGATTTTTCCTCGGGCTTACTTGAATGACACAATATAGTTTTAAACCTCAGGCTAACATACAGCATCAGTTTGAATCACATGAAATGCTCTTTGTAAAAATGGGGACAGAGAAACTCTCTAATATTCACTGAATCAATAAAGAACACGACATTAGAAATTTTACATTGCGCCGAAACATGTTAATCTAAGTGATCAGTGAGAACTTAAAAACAAAAATTAGCATTTTATTTTCATAAAGGTGTTTAATATTTTGAATTCGCCAATCATAAATAGTGAGAATTTTGATCAAGGGAAAATTTAAAACTGAATAGAAGTAAAAACACAGCTATGCCTTAACTTATTTCAAGGACTTTATTATCGGATGCCCGCGGTTCTAAGGCTAAATATCTCACAGTGCGCTCAGATTTTGAACACGATAACGTTGAACCCGCATCATAACGAAATTTCAAACACGATAACACTCGAGCATCATAACGTTATTTACCAATGTCGAATAAGCCACTCACCTCCCACATGAGACTATTATCAACATCAGAGCTCAGCTCTTCGACTTTAACAATACGGCCTGTATAGGGTCCCATCTGTGTGCCCTCTTTGATCCAGCAGGTACTAAACACACCAAGTTGAACACCCGGAATTGAGGATGGCGCAATAGTGACTTGCTCCGGAAGAGACACAAATGCCATATAGTAAGAGTCGTTCTCCACACAAAGTTGTTTAGTTTTGGCGTTGTCGTTGCTTAGAACCGGGACTAAAGCTGTAGATCCTACACGTTTAATGCTGCTCATGTACCCAGCGTCAGGATCTTGGAAATAAAAAGAACGAAAAAAATCATCGCGAGAAAAAAAAAATTCAGTTATCAGTTCTAGCGGCTTTTCTCTGCACTATGTACAATTGATTTTTGCAGTTGAGATAACTGGATTGCAGTCTAGACACCTAGTTTTCTAACTAAATGAGTAAAATGTGGAAGAATCATATCTGTTGGAAGTCAAAAGACTTAGTAAATTCCCAGCGGAAAGTTGGTTAAAATTTTACAAATTTGAAGAATTTGTTTAAAAACGACATAAAAAGAAAAGAATTGAAAAGCATCAATTTCCCGAGCGGATGAAAGCCCAAACGCTATTCTCTCCTGTAGTTTTCAATCGCGACAAACAGAAGTCGTTTACAATCAATTATTTATAACGTTTTATTCCACCGCTGGGAAAAAAATCTGAAAGGCAGGTTTGTAAAACTAGGTCAGAAAAACATCGATAAAATGAGTGAAACATTCTTAAAAGGATAACGTGCCAAAAATTACAGCGAAACGAGTTTGGTTTTATTCTCTTCCAGTAATGAATTTAGTTGTGATGAGGTTTATTCATGCGACCTTCGCTTGTAGCACCTGCTTTGCGATCTCTACTAATCTTTATGATCTTGAATTAAAGTAAACCCAAGGAACGTGCTAAATACACTGTGATAAGCAGGTAAAAAAGGAGGGTTTATGCGTCGCATTAATCTCTAACGAATTGTTATGCTACAGGGGCCTTATCAGTCACAAACAATCGCCATTGATGGAACACACAGTATGAAACACAAACCAGAGAAGTAAATTTGGACTTGATTGCGGAAGTGTAGATATGACTCGGAAGGATATATGCTTCGCGAATTTTCATTACTGAACACTTCTCCCATAATAGCTTTTTATTTGGGTATTGGTAAAATTTCATAAACAATGTAAAAGTAAAGAGTGTCGAACAATACGGCACACGCATTTGAATTAACAGACCACGGAAGCTTGTTTTATGACAACAAGCCAGTTCACCGACTTTATTTCAAAGCTTGGTTACATTTTTTAATTTCCCAAAAAAGCCGCGATGTTTGTAATGTGGGCGAGGAGGATGATGCCCACGAGTCACGTGGCCTCCGCTTTTCGAGTTGTTGTAGAAAACGCACTTGCCCGTATTCATTGATTTCAGTTTGAGTTTGACTGTCCTGGTTGTATTGTTACTCCATCATGTTACTGTTCTTTGATATGCTAATCTTTCTCTAATGCTAACTAGAAGACATTAATTATATGATAAAAAATGTCCAAACATGTTAATTTCTCTCGAAAAGCAAATTCGAAATTAGACTAGATTAAACATATTTCTTTTCCTCCCTTATATTCTATTATAGTTTCCGTCACGTCGCACTCAAGGATTTCAATGAGAGTACATTTTTTTTTTTAAGGCGCCTACAATCACTTCCCGAGGGAGAATTGAGAGAGAATATTACCATAGATATCTGACCTCATTGCGATCTCCTGAAAAACATCAAGAGATAAGGAATGAACTTTGCACAAAGAGCTTAAAAGTCTGCGAAAACTACACGTTTACAAAACTGGTACGAATTAAGTGCTTTTAGTTAAATTTCCGAGTTCGCATACATATTCATTTTAAGCGAATCCACCTGCCTAAAGCAAATTGGGTATTTAAACCTTATTATCGTCCAAAAATTACAATTGAAAGAAGGAAGCGCTTTTGCCTCCATTTCTGAAATTTTGTTTGCTGGTAGATCATACCTTAATGACCGTTTCACTAGACAGCCGGAAACTGCAGAGGGCGTTTTGAAAACATTAAGTAAAACTGACGAAGTTGAGGATGAGATCAAGCGCGCGAATCTGAAGACTCTAGTGTTATTCCTCAAACTACCTGTACAGACGCTCGTTATGGACCTTGAGAGCAAGTACGAGTTACACGGCAGAATAATACGATAAATCAAAATTTTCAATTCCCCGCGGTTGGGAGCAATGTTTTCCTTAACCGACAAAAATCTGAAAGCGAAAGAAACCTCACGCGATTTTGCAATTTACCGCACGGTATTTTCAGTAATTCGAAATCTTCGAGTTTCTAAGACTATTGAAAGCGAAATAGTCAGCGAAACATGTTACTTTACGAGAGAATGGACAAAAAAAGATCTGCGTTTAATAAACCCAAATTCTGCTCATTAAAATAAACCAGAGACTATAAACTTCCCTAAGTCGTTAAAATTTAATGGCATTCCTTAGTTAAATTCCAAAAGAATACGTAACACGAAACACTTCACAATCCCTTTGACCGTTTTTTTTCCTAAGCAATGAAACACGGGAAATAAAACGACAATGTTAAATTCCTGTAACTAAACACAGCGCTTAAAAGCGAGTAATTACATAATTTCTTATTGCTCAAAACTCTGGAGTGCCTGAAAGCACGCGAGGTAGTTTAATCTTCGCCGTGTTTCCCAATGCATACTTTGTTTTTAAACTGAATATCATTCATTGTAATAAGGGAAAATTAAAATTTACCTTCATCAGAGTTGTAGTCCATTTTATCCAAAACGCCGGATTTAAAGGTAAGTTCTTTTTGGCCACCAAATACGTTGCACCACTTGCCGTACAGAACGCTTCTTAAGACCTCCTGACTTATATTTAGGGGACTGCTTGGTTTTTCCAAGAGTGGCGGCGCGACCCAAACGGACATCTCGGCACGTATCCTCACCGCCGACTTGTCAGTGGCGATTTTCAATCTTTACGTATTCACTTACTTTCGGTTTATGGGATTTTAATAAACGTCAGGGCTTTATATGCTGGCTTATGTTTGCCGTTGACAATGATCAAGATGTGAACAATGGCTAAGCAAAACTAAATAAGTCTTTGTAATAAATCAAATATTTTTCATCATGCCCTTCACACCTCATTGAGCGCTGTGCTACTCGCGCTTATAATGAGCTGCCAGGGCAAAGAGCACCTGCCTTAGTTAGCTGTCAGGCATGCGCACCATGTTACCCCTTACGGAGACTTTAGCGGCTGATCAACAGGGTATCGAGAACAGACGGACGACTTGCATTTCCTATGAGTTTTTAATGCACTTTCGACAAAAATTGGGGGAAAAGGTTTGTAGTTTGAGGAAACAGGAACGAGAGATTTTGATTAATGGGCGCCGCGACAGTGAGTTGTGTAGCAAAGTGCAGAATTAGCAGAGATTAAATCTTCATTTTCTTCTTCACCCGACATCCGGATGGTCAAATCTAGAGATGGGAAAAGAAGGAAATTTAGTTTCAAATAATAAATCAATGACACAGGTGTATGTTTTGGGTTTGTATCAAATTTGAATCGATTGGCCTCCAGGTTTTGCGCAGGGTTTAAGGGTTCGTTCAATGTAAGCAAAATCTCAAAACGTGATTTCTCCATAACACTTAATTTTAAACACCCAACCTACTGTTCTGATCTATTAATGCTAAAGAATTGTAAAACGGTTCTCCTGCAAAAATCAATTGTTTCATGCGTGGTGCTTTTAGGAATATTATCATTTTTTTTCATTGACTAGTTGATGCCGCAACCCGAAGGCAGATTTCACTAATTTTACTCCTTTAGATAAAGATTCCCGAATTAACATTGTAGGAATAGTAAGATGTAAACACGCTCGGTCCCAATTACGAATTAATGAACACAAAGAAGTTAGCGCCCAAATCAATCAACAGTGATTAGATAGGTTTATTTAATTAGTAGTATTCTAACATTTTCCAATAGAAACGAACCCTATTAGGACCACCAACTCTTTATTAAGAGAGCATGCAGTAAATGGTAATAAAAAAACAAATACGTGTTATTTTTCAGGTTTCGAATTTGGTTTCACATTAGTATGTTATCTAGTTAACTGTTGATGTACTCTGCGAGACGTCAATTCTAGCGTTCGGCACGGCGCGCCTCAATCGCGACAGTGAAATTCGCTGGGGCTTCGCGTCACGTCCATCGAGTAGGAAACGAACACATCTAGGATCAAATCTGGGTTTTCGCAAAGGCGGGGCATTCTTTCGGCACCTGCTGATAGACGCGTGGCAGGCGCGTGTCTAGAACAAAGGTGCTTAAACATATTTGCTCGAAATCGCAACCTTTCTTTTATAATCAGAAGGCCTTGTCTTAATCTAGACATGATCGACGAGATTGCTGCACACTGTGTTGAAACTAAAGAAAACAAACTGATGTTGGATCACCGGCGCGATCGCTTAATGTGCAAACCGTTTAGCTGTCGTGTTACTTATGCCTGGGTGTGTACCATTTTAAGCGTTTTTTTTTCTTTTTTTGCCGAGCGCGGAAATTACTTCAACCTTCTTCACTTTGTTTATGAGCTTTAAAGAAGGTTCTCGTTTCTTTGAAATGATAACGCAAATTGAATTAAAGAAAACATTTTATCATTGTACTTGGTTTAAAAAAGTGGATAAAATGGTGCGGAAATTTTTCGACACTTAAATAGAGGTGAAGGAAATTACATTTGCATCAGAATAGCGGTGGGTTCATTACTTCGGAAAACTCATTATTTTTCGTGCAATCAGGGCGCTTGCCTTGGTAATGGACTTCTAAAACTAAAAATAAGGTACATTTCGCTCTTTATAATAACTACTCTTTTATTTAAACTATCTCTTAAATGGTATAACTTTCGTCTCTTTCATTACTAAGAGTAAATATGCGGGCCTCATTAATAATGAATTTAGGTAAATGAAACAGAAAAATAACTTAAGGGGTTAAAAACAGCTAGACTTTATTCCAAAGATCAATAAATAGTGACCAGTTTTTTCAAAGTTTGTTTGGTGCATGATCCACTGTTTATTCAGGCAAAAGAAAAGCGTTCTGACTCAGCAATGCATCAAAATACTCTGTGGTTAATTTTAATTCCCCCGTGGGAGAAAAAAAAGAGTTATTGTGACAGTTTTGTATAGAACGTTGGCTCAAGGAAATTACTCACTCTGAAGTTTGTGCCAAGATAATAGATATTAGCCGTCACAGAGCAACACGTAACCAAAAACATGCATCATTTCCTTTCCGTTTCAAAGCCCAAACAGTAAAAGCGGGGGATTTCACTTTTAATTTTTTCTTTAATATTATAATCACCGGAAAACACCCAATTTGCAGCTAATACTCAGAATAGCAAATTAAAATTTTCGAGGTAAACTAGGAAGGAAGAAGAAACACATGCAAGTGAACACTCTAGCTGAGCTAATGTGTAATTTATCTAGATTGGGTGTCCTTTGAAAGTTTAATGACTGCGGAGTTATATGCCTTTGAAGTAAGCAGCCCCGGTTGCAAATTAAGCGGTACAGCCATAGAGCTCCACAATAAGAGAGCGTGATAAGTTTATTAAGTCTTTTCAGGCAGGCACGCGCCAGAAAGGCCACCAACACTTTGTTTCGGAATACACGTGCTGCAAAAAATAAGCCTAATGGCAAACAAATCGCCCGCGAACAATATATGATCAATTATTAAAGTATTAAATTGCCTTCAAAGAGCTTATCCCATGTGAAGTTTCTTCGTCCTCCAAGTAGGCCACTGGTTTGGGAAAAGTTTCCATCACCCAGGTGCCTTCTATAGAAACTTAAGCTAAAGACCTTGGGTCGAACCATGCAGGCCAACCATGAACTGATTTATTTGCTGTCTAAGAGGTGCAGGCAAGAGTGTAGCCCCGGAGATGCGGTGAGTTTTTGTTTGGGGTCTGTCCGTTTCGGGGGCTTGTGTGCGGTTCCCTAGGTAGACAACATGCGGAGAACATATAGTACAAAATATTTGTGATCAATGTTTAAGGCACCGGAGGAAACCCATTAAACTTGCTTTCTTTTTCTCCGCGAACCATTAAACGATCGGGCTAGCTGTTTTTGTATAGTTCAAGAGGTGCATGAGAGGAGCACAGTAGGCGCTTCGCAGCCAGGAATGTAAATTACAAAGATCTTGCTCATTAGCCGGCAACTCCAGCGGTTCTCGTTTCCTATCTTAACGGTCATCAACAAATTTTATTTTTCCTTTGTTTAGGTTTGTGGTAATCAGTGATTGCTTATTATGGTTCGCGGTGCAAAGTAAATTCAAATATATTCGTAATTGCTAAGGGTCACTTTGTAGTGCTTAGTGAAAGATTTGTGCCCTGAGGGAAATGGGTAATCAATGCTCAAGGAAGCTTCCAAAATAAGCGAAATTAAAACTTGCATATTAGCCCTCGAGATCCGACAAACTTTCCAAGGTATAATGATTTCTTTAATCGCCTTTCATGTGCAAGGTGACGAAAGGATAACACACTTCTTTGTGAAGAAGATAGTGTGTAATGGATGGATAAAAGCCCACGTTTAGTCACACCGCTAAGGAGTGTTCAAAGTTGTCTAACGGAGTGAATCTCGGTGCTCAACTCAAGACCCCTTATAAAGTAAATATTCCGAGTTATCGAAGCAAAGTCAAATGATCAACCCTTTATCAGTGTTCCTTGCCACTGAATGAAATGGCGATTCAGTTAATCGCACAAGTTGTACCCAAACATCAAAGCTGTCTAAAAAGGCAACAGTATCCGAAAAAAACGACTACGTGCTATGTGAGGCTGATAATATCATCTTAGACAAGAGAGGAAATTTATGTACATCGGAAGTATTTTGAAAACTTAAAAGAAACGTTTTAAATCTTAAATCAAAACGTACTTAGCATACACTAAACGACCCGCACGCAAGGAAACTTGGCAGACAGATGTCTCGAAATCCTTTCCCGGAACAAAAAATTGGAAAAAGGGTTCATGTTCATCACCAAACTACTCTCGCTGATCAAATATAGTCCTCCACGACTAAATCTTTTACTAACCATCGTCGACCTTTCAATTTCATTAACAACTAGCACTCAGGCGAGTGGGCAGCCTTTGTCATAACAAGCTATTTTTGAATATCCGCACCTTGAGCGCATTGACTATCGGTGGAGGTGCCTTGCATTTTTCCACCATTTTTTACAGTCAACATTTGATAAAGACTCGAAAACGTTTTAAAAATTTGATGATGTCGGGTGTGGTTGAGTTCCTCAATCGTTTTTTTTTCCTCTCTTTTGTCATTTTCATCGCTCCGTTAGCCTGTGTTTCTATATGTGCTATAACATGCTTTACCAACTGATAACTTTTTCGGGTAATTTCGCAATAATCTCTGGTTTCTTGCGCGGCTCATTTCTGTTAAAAATTTAAGCTGTCCCGCAGAGACCACAAAATTTTGATTGTTTATCTCGGGAAACGTTCTTTTAATTTTTAATTCTCGCATTTGAGTCCATGATAACAATTGTAAATCAGCGACTGCCAGCTTAAAACAGAGGAATAAAAGACATATTGGAACTACACCGTCTACATTGTGTACCCCAGAGACAATTAAAGTTTGAAACGAAATTTTCATATTTAATAAAGGAGCTTTGCTTATTTGAGCATTTCTTAGTGTTGGCAAACAGGCTTGGTGCTTTTCAACGCCAAAAACTTGATAACAGTCAAAGCTTCAACACGGGTGTAAATTCAATTTCTGGGATTTTACTTTTAATTTAACTGTAATAATAAACTTCCTAAATTAATATTTAAATGCCAATTTAAGGATGAGGGGGGTCAAACAGACGAATTACCATCCATCATGTGAAATCTTCCTTATTCTTCAATTTCGAAAAAGCTTAAAAACAGCAAAGTTACCTTTTTATGAGTCCTATGATTTTTTCCATCGTCATTCATCATTTTGTTTTGTTTTTTTTGAGTTTTTTTAAATTTTAGCTTTTATTTTTGCGATCGATAGTCATCTTACTACCTCTGTAAGAAAGAATAAAGAATCCTTATCTTTCAATAATACCTTCTTTTTTCCGTTTATCTATGTAGTTTGAAATCA